ACATTTTCAAAGCAATGGAAATCGATTACTAAATTATTTTGTTTAACCATATGCACTGATATAATACTTACCACTATGCATTGTAATAGCAAGTGCAGGAGGACCGCACTACACGCAAAACAAAAATCTACAAGATAAACCTGCGGACAAGACAGAAAATAGACATTGCAAAAAATAAACAAATATCAAATGTGAATGGATCGGGGGGGGGGGGGGGGGCAGCCGTAACGTCCACTGCGTTGTACAGTCCCAGGCTTGTTATGGTACAGGCTTCACTAAAAATGAAAAAAAACTTTTCATCCCAATATTTCTCTGCCAATTACTTGTTTTGCATGTGCATTACATGTAGGTATTATGTATTCCTACTCACATCCAACTACTGACTTTAAACTTTTATCATTTTACAGGATATAGATGATGTTAAACATTTACATCAATCGTTGGTGTGTAAAAAGATATTTAATAAATATGGGGACTTGAAAATCCACAACAAACTAAATGATAAAGACAACAAAACTGATATGATCAATCTGTTCAGAAGAAATACATTTTGCAGGTCAACAAAATGACTTGGATAACCCTGAAAGAAATTCATATCTCACAATGACTTAAAGAAACATTGTAAAGTAGCCCAATCTGTAGGAGATTCTTTATGTCAACAAAACAATGAATTTCAACAAGTTTGTGATATGAGTGTAGAGGAATACGGTGAAACTGAGAAACTTTTTTCATGTGATGTTTGTAATAAAACATTTAATCAACGTGGTCATCTTCATGAACACAGAAAAATTCATATTGGAGATAGATCATTTAAATGTGGTGTTTGTTACCAGACCTTTATTCATAAAGGCAATCTAAGTAAACACATGATCATTCACACTGGAAAAAAACCTTATAAATGTGATGTTTGTAGTAAATCTTTTAATAAGCTTATGTGAGAACTCATACGGGAGAGAGACCTTTTAATTGTGACTTTTGTAGTAAGACTTTTGCTGACAGAAGCCATCAGCAAAGACACACACGCAGGGCTGTCGGTAATTTTTCATAGTTGATTACTGCTAATCAAAAAGTCCAATTTTGCCAAATTTGATTAGCAAATTTAAAAATTGATTAGCAGTTTTTCAGTTTCAACGTAAAACACCAAAATAACAAGATATTACTTTAATTCATAACGAACTGAAATATGATTAGATTCCATTCTGACTATTCTTAGATTTATTAGCACTGCCACAAGTACTTGTGACAGTTTGTGAATGTGATGTAGACATTTAGTTAGGTCTTACGTCTGAAGGCAATTCTTGACAATGACTTCCGAAGCCCCACTCATTTTAATTGTAATTTTTTTGTTACGTTAGAAATCTTCGTTAGAAAACAATTTCGTCTGTTTTTTATCGTGTATTATTATTTTTGTTCAATCGGGCGCACCTCGATTAACTAGACACACGCGATATAAACAATAATATTTTACGGGAATTTTTACTTTGATTTATCATTTTACAATACGTTAACATGTGTTTATTTTTTTTATATTTTATTTACAATACGTGGGAGATACACTGGATTTATTTCTTTCAAAATGAATATGATATAATTACTTGATGTCTCACAACGTGAGTGGTACTACTTGATTCCCTATTTCCGGTTTAATAGTCCCTATTCATAGAGTTATGTCCCTGTGTTATATAGTATTGTGTCTGGGCAATTCGAGAAGAAAATGTCACACGGAGAATTCAGTTTTGTTTATAAAATTTTATTCAACATTTTATACACGTTGAAAGTGTTGAGTAAGCCTTCTAGTCTTCAAAATGTGGATTATTCTTGTGTCAATATCCAAAATGACAGGCATATTAATGATTCGCAGTAACTGCGAATCAAAAACGTTAGATTTTAATTTTTGGTTAGCAACGGACAAAATATGTATCGCAAATTGCGCTGCGATACTGGTTGTTGGCAGCCCTGCACACACGGAGTCATACTGGAGAAAAAAACCTTATAAGTGTGAACTGTGTGTGAAATCCTTTGCCCATAGTTGCAATCTACAGAATCACATCAGAAGTCACACTGGATAAACTCCTTATAAATGTGATATTTGTTGTAAAAACCCTATAAATGTGCAACTTGCAATAAGTTATTTAGTAGAAGAAATAATCTACTGACACACATGAAAATTCACACTGGGGAAAAACCATTTATATGTGGTGTTTGTAATAAATCTTGTGTTACTAGTGGTAATCTTAAACGACATATGAAAATGCATGTTACTACTGGATAATGTTTCTAGTCCAGGGGTGTATTACCCCATAGTAATGGTGTTAGACTGACAATCTCTTAAAGACCAGAATGCCAATTAAATATAGAGTTTTATAAAAGTATGCAAACCAGTCAGTTGTCACTTATGTCTGTTCTAGTTTCCATCTGTTTTTCCTTGATACAGGCATCTTTGTAAATACTGGCCCCAAGTTCACAAAGCATTCTCAGACTTAACCATACGTTATGCAAGAGCTAAATCTGTTTATTGCAGGTCTTTCTTTAGGCCTGAAATGTTATCTAAATTATTAAATAGACATTAATTAACATATCCAGGACATAATCAACTCTAGATGGCAGCGCTAGCCTGCGATCTTTAGTGGATTGTGAGCCGATTTACTGCATGACTTTCCTTCTCGATTGAATGATTAAATGGATAATCGAGACTATGCTGTTTGTTGTACTGACTTTAGTAATGATGACCAAGTCTAGGGGGAAATTTCAGTCGCTTAGTTCTCGGTTCATAGTGGATCAATCTGAATGAAATTTTCAACAAATTGCCTTTACAATATCTAGTGTTTAACTATTATAGTGAGAACTGCCAACTCGTTACCGAATCTCCCATAATGTATCTTTAAGTTAAGAATTTACTCAAAATTGTTCTCCTTATTTTAACTAAAATATAGACCTTTATAAAACTTTTGTTGTTTTAATGTATCGAATACATCAATAAGAAACTATGTGCAAAGTTTTGTGTTTCTGGATCAAAGATATTTTTCATAAACAGTGATTGAAAGTTGAGTAAATTCTCAACTTAAGTCTGAGAATGCTTTGTGAACTTGGGGCCTGAACAAAAATTAACTATTTTTCGACCGATATTCCTATCATAGTTTACTCAAGAACTGTTGACTTTATTCAATGGTGAGTTTATTCAATGGTGATATTCTGAGGTGATTACAGCCAACAGAAATCTAACCAGCAGCTGCCAGGCAGGATACGCCCACATTTTCGAGAGATGGATAGAGAACAAGCTAAAAAGGAAGTGATTTTTCCTACAATCAAGGGCCATAATTCAGAAAATTACAATTCAATATGAGCAAATATCGAAGGGACCGACATCTTTGGGTTATAAACTTACATTTCAAGTTTCAACAAAATCGGATAAAAATTGTGACCTCTATAGGGTCCACAACCTTGATATACCATATTTTTACGCTATTTATGATAACGAGGGGTGGCCATTTTGTCTGTTAGTTTTGGGCCGATTTTCACGAAATTCAAACTCAGTCGTCCTAAGGGTGTAACGGTGATATAATAACACGTTTTTTTTTTAAATCGGATAAAAATTATGACCTCTATAGGGCCCACAAGCTAAAAACGCGATTTTTCGAACAATCAGGGGCCATAATTCAGGAAGTTACGGTCCGATATGCGCGAATATCGAAAGGAACCGAGATCTGTGGGTTATAAGCATACATTTCAAGTTTGAACCAAATCGGATAAAAATTGTGGCCTCTACAGTGTTCACAAGCTAAAAATGTGATTTTTCGTACAATCAGGGGCCATAATCCATGAAGTTACAGTCCGATACATGCCAATATCGAAAGGAACCGAGATCTTAGGATGATAAACCTATATTTCAAGTTTCATTGAAATTAGATAAAAATTGTGACCTGTAGACTGTTCACAAACAATTGTGGACGGACAGGGGCGACGACAATATACGTCCACACGAAAATGTGGGCGTATAAAAAGGTTGCAGATTATTGTCCTCAGAAATTTAATAGGATTAGGTGGAGGTTTATAGCCCCAATTAATGTGCTGCTGCATTATTATTGTAGACACAAATGTTTAATTAAGGATGCTCATGGGTATGATATTTTCCCCATGAATTTATATATATCTTGTACTCACTGATATATTAGTAAAACTAGATAAAAAAAAAATGATTTCTTGATTAGATAGGGCCTACCTACAATTTACATGTACTGTATAATAAAAGTCATGTTTTTGTTTGTAAGACATTTAGTGATAGGAAAACATTAACATAACACAAACAATAGTTATGGATAACAATCACTAGCAACTTTAATAGTACAACATTTCAACAAGTATTCTCTTTATCGTTATCAAGCAAAAGGTAAACAATAATATGATACAAACAGCTTGCAGTGAGCATTTATAAGTATAAAAAAATAAAAAAGAAGCCACAAAGACAAGAATTCTGTAGAAGTGAAGTTATTGACAAAAGCTAGATATTGACAAAAGCTTATAGAGCAATTAGTTAGGTTTTAGGTGAAATGAAATGGGGTTTAACGTCCTACTGTTCTGCTCCTAAACTGGGCTAATGAAGACGGGCATACGTCATACAGTGTGCTATGAGGGAAATTTTGCCCGGGCAACGGCGCTACGGCCTACTCTTATATCGAATTCGAACTGCCAAGGGATCTTTTACGTGCACGCCAATATGTACACGGGACCTCGGTTTTTTGTCCCATCCGAACGACTAGACAGCTGTCCTTATCAGGCCCTCGTCCTGCATCACTGACAAGGGTTAAACGACGCCGGAAAAACTTTCTCGGCCAATGCAGGGATCAAACACCCGACCTCCAGGCTAGCGAGCCAGCGTCTTACCCACTTAGCCATGTGATCCCTCTAGGTTCTAGGTATATGTATCGGTAGTTAAAGAGAGAAAAATTGTTTTAAGCCTGCAAGTAAATACATAGGCTAGAATTTAACAAATAACTAATCAATTAAGGTGTTGTAAATGATTAATAGTAGGAAATGAAAAGAAAGTTTGCAGCATTATTGTGACTAAAATTTTATGAGTCCATTAAAGCACAATATTAATGAATTAAAATGTCATAGGCTCTATGAATTTGAAGTCCATTGTCATGGTTTAATTTGAGCTGGTGTTTCTTGATGAGCACTGCTTCTGAAAATTTGTGTACGTTTTTGTTGCGTATGTTGCAGACTAAGATTTTCACACTATCCCAACATACTTTATGGCACAGATTTTCTCTGAGGTGTTGAGCCACGGCAGATATATTGTTAGATGAATTCGCTTGATGTTCTTTAATGCTTTTATCTACAAAGGCCTTTTAGTTTCTCCCATGGAAATTGATGAACAGGAACAAGTTATTTAGTATACACATCGTTTGGATTATTTTATGCCGATTTTCCAAGATTACCTTCAGTGTTTCTTCGTATTTAAAACTAGTTTCTATTCAAGCTTGTCTCGGGACTCGTCGGATATGGTAGGATGTTTTGCCTATAAATGGTATGGTAACACATATTTAAGTTTTTATTTGTTGGTGGTTTGGTTTGATGGATAACTGATTGGATTACTCTTTTCACTAGTTGTTGTGGGTATTTGTAGATAAACTGGGTGACAGATGTATGTTGCACGGTTTATTAATATTGAGATGATGGCTTCTTTAATCTTGAGGTTATGGTTTGAGTTGTAATAGATGTACTGGTTGATGTACATTGGCTTCCTGTATATTGATGTTTCAAGCTGGTTGTGATTTTTCATATCAGCATCTACAAATGGTATCCCTGGGTCACGCCCGGTGACTCAATGACAGACCTTATGATACAGCGTGCACATGCTAACCAATCGGCCATCCAAACCCCCAATCATCTGAACTTGTCATATGTATTCCTAATAACCTAAGGACAACTATTGATTTTGGTGCATTTTTTAAAGTTTTAGCTCAAAATAGTGTCATTCGGAAGTAAACCCTAGATGGAGTTACTTAAACAAATCCATACTTCAGTTGTACCAGTGACTTGATAACCATGACGATCACTATAGTTTAAGCAAGTACGTATGTATAGAGATTTCTATCCAGGCTGAATATCGAAACTGATAATTGAATTTGTGTAAAAACCACCATGGAGCTTTTGATGCTTGTACAGGACCAGTGTTCATCACTAATAATCAGTTTGATTCACAAAAAAGTATCTGGAATAACTCCTTCAAATATGTTAATGTACAATAATAAAGCTTTTACAGTTCAACAAAGATATAATCTGATTAAAACACAGATTTTATTTCGTTTCGTTTTTTAAAGTTCACAATTTTGTTTTAAATGTCCCCGGTTGTACGTGACAAGGAGTAGGGTCGCCTGTCCAATCTCGTGGGTTTTCTCTGGGTCCTCCGGTTTTCTCCCACAGCTAAAGACCCCTACGCGCAAGCGAATTATTGAAATAAAATTGAACCATGTGTTAGTCCCGAAATGACCTAGTTTGTGTTGAGTGGACTTTAAACCCCATTTCTCTCTCTCTTGTTTTAAATGTCTTTACTACAGGATCTAGAAGAATTGTTATAAAAGGTCTGTTGCGATCATAGGCGTATGAGCTCAAAGTAATTCAGGGGGGCATAAGAGAAAATTGCCCGAAATCAATACCGTTTTTTCGGGCATACATATCATAAGAGAGCTTCGGGCATGCAGTGGACAAGAAAAAGACGAGAAAATACTTTTCGGGCAGTGTGGATCTCATAGAAATAAGTTAATTATTTTTTTTCTCTAAATGTTAATAGAAAAAAAAGGTCGTCGAATTTTTCATTGCCCGAAAATAAATTTTTGGGGGGGCAAATGCCCCCCCTGCCCTATGGTTGCGATGAGGTCTTGGCGTGCACTACATGGAACTATGGGAATCCCACTAATGAGAGAGAGAGAAATGGGGTTTAACGTCCACTCGACAAAAAAAACTAGGTCATGCTAACTATTCGGTTATCCAAACCCCTGAATCCCACTAGAAACATCAACGCTGATTAGTTAATCAAATGTTTGATGTCATAGGGTCAAAAGCTTCTCATATGAACCCTGACATGACCTCCCATTACAACCAGTCAGATCTTCACATAGTGGAGGACAGCCATTGAAAGTATAAAAAAACAAATACAAAACGAAATATTGATCTGTATTTTAATTAGATTACACAAAGATAGCATGGTTTTATATTGCAAGTAATTTTTAGAATGATTGATAGTAAAAGATACAGTATAAATATTACTACTCCCATTGTAAACCAGACTATTTAGTATAAGTAGCCTTGAAGTGCTATGTAAAGAGGGTGGTCTGGTTCTTAGTGTTTAATAATTTCATGATTTGGGAGCAGCAGGTACAGAAGATTTAGTTCTTGACTTCAATCCATCCCAATGTCTTGTTCCAACATATTTTCAAATATTTCAACTTCCCAGGAACATTCCTTTGCCTTTTGAAGAATTAAAATTATTTGTTCGTTTGCAAACTGAAATAGAAATGGGATTTTTCTTCACAGATACAATTAATGACTCCTCATACCTTTCAATAAATTTCAAACTTAAAAAGTTATGGATTTGTAAAAAAAACATTTAAGGCAGTTGCTTGCTAATTAAGCCACCTAAACATATCGTCTAGAGATGCATTATGTTTGAGATAAATCTGCCTATTGCAGGTCTTTATTTTGGTTTCAAATGTTATATAAACTATTATTTAGACATTTATTCACATGACTATGATCAACCCTGTAGACCATCGGATAGCAGAGATTTAAGCGGATTGAAACATGATTGTCATTTAATGATTTAATGAAACCAGCGGTTGCCAGGCAAGATACACCCACATGGAAATATAACAAACTAAAAAAAATAAAAATGATTTTTCGTACAATCAGGGGCATATAATCCAGGAAAGTTACAGTCTGATATATGCGAATAGCAAAGGGACCATGATCTTTGAGTTAAAAACATACATCAAAATTGGATAAAGATAGGTTGCCTGGCAACGAAACATACGCCCACAGCGGCTAAATCGTCCGAGCGGTCAACAATGGGTGTCGCATATTTATTCCTTTGTACGTAATTGAGGGCCTTTACAAGACAGTTCTATACAGATCAGATTATAATTTTTGCCGTTTGAGGGTTCACAAGGTTCTACAAATTGAAACAAGGGTCTCAACTCTGCAAGTAATCTACAGAAATTGTTGAAATTTGACAGGCTTTTTCGTTTCACAAATTTAAATGATGCATATAAATTTCATACATATCGGATGATAACTTTCATCAATTGAGCATTAACAAGGTTGAACAAAGTGAAACAAGGGCAATAACTCTAGAAGTAATAAACGGAAATTGCTGAAATTCAATAGGATTCTTCTCTTTACTAATTTAAACGACGCATGTAAATTTCATACAGATTGGCAGATAACTTTTGATGTTAGAGCATTCTCAAAGTTCAATAAAGTGAAACATGGGCCATAACTCTAGATGTAATAAACAGAAATTGCTGAAATTCAATAAGCTTCTTCATTTCACTTATTTAAATAATGCATATAAATTTCAGAAAGATCAAATGACGTAATACACAGAAATTGCTGAAATTCAATAGGCGTTAGAGCATTCACAAGGTTCAATAAAGTGAAAAAAGGGCCATAACTCTAGACATAATACACAGAAATTGCTGAAATTCAATAGGCGTTAGAGCGTTCACAAGAAATTGTGGACGACGGACGGACGTACAGACAGACGTACGGACGGGGGCGACAGCAATATACATCCACATTTCTATGTGGGCGTATAAAAATTGTGACCTCTAGAGAATCCACAAGCTAAAAAACACAATTTTACGTACAATCAGGGGCCATAATTCAGGCAGTATCGAAAGGAACCAAGATCTTTGCATTATAAACATGCATTTCAAGTTTCATCAAAACAGGATGATAATTGTGACCTCTAGAGGGTCCACAACCTTGATATACCATATTTTTATACTATTAGCGTACGTGGGGAGGCCATTTTGTCCGGCAGTTTTAAGAAGGATATTCCTTAGGTTTGTAGCTTGTTTTACTTTCCATTGTTCTAATAAAAGGTAATCTGAGACTTCTACAACAAAATTTCAATTACCTTAACATAACATTTTTCTGGATCAATAGGACTAGGTAACTTTTGAATAAATTTTTTATATTTTGTCACCGTTTTATCTTTATTCTGTACATCACATGTAACTTCAAAACCACTAGAAAAATAAAATATCTATATTATACGAAGGCCAGACCTGAAAAATATCAAAACACTTACAAAGGGAAAATCTGTCTTGGACAAAACAACAGGCATCAAAGGAATTATGTCTGAATTTGTGCCTGACAAGGTCTGTGATAAACTTTTTATTTCCAGACTTGATTACGGTGGTCCATGAATGCTGAAGCCATTAAAATGATCATTTCTAAATAAAAAATACAGGCGGGGGTGGGGGTGCAGGTGGTAGTGGTGGGGGTGCAGGTGCATACTACTAAGAACTTGATACTACATGTACCTCTCACTTGCCAAAACAACACATATTTTTGAATTTGTATTACCTTTCACTAAATGAATATTCAACTGCAGCATTTTCTGGTACCTTCTTAAATAACTCCAGTTTCAGATCTTTTATATGAAGTTTTATAGTCACTGTACACCGATTTTCTTCAACTAAAAATAAACAAAGATAGGTTGCCAGGCATCAAAACAACAGCTAAGTCATCTGGGCAGTCAACAAGGCTATTTTTTCTATTGTCAGTATTGAAAACATTTACAACACATCAAGTAATTATCAGAAATCATCAGAATTTGTTTTGATTGTTTGTCTCATGACCTTAAACCCAGTGTAAAAATTTATATTAACTTTAGCTGCTAGAGCATCCACAAGATTTTTCAAAGTGATCAAGGGCCATAACTCTGGCAGTAATTATCGGAAATAGGCTTCGTTGTCTCATGATCTTACTTACTGAGTATAAATTTGAAGTCAATCAGATATTCACTTTAGTCCCTAAAGCATCCACAAGCAATTGTGGAAGTCGGACGTGTGGGGGTGATGACAATATACATGTACGACCAAATTTCAATACTCTATAATCATTTTAAGGCTATTGAATTCGTATATGATCATCCTTTCCATCTGTCAGTCTTTTCACTGTACAAATTACAACTAGTTATGGATTCTTTTGATATTTATTTTCTGTGTCAATATCATTATAAAGATATAAATGCACAAACCTGTAAGATCTGGTATACGGGTCAAAATTGGTAGAGATTCCTGTTTTTCTGCACTTTTTTTAATACTACCTGAAAACACACAGTTTTAAGTATTCACTAAATACATTATAATGTATTTGATTATATTACAATAGACAAAGAAAGGTTGCCAGACAACAAAACATATGCCCACAGCAGCTAAATTGTACGGGCAGTCAACAAGAGTTGTTGCATATTTTTAATTTTTTCGGTAATGAAACACTTACATACACTATATTCTAATTAAGAGTTCCAACTCATTAAGTAATTATCAGAAAATCATTAGAATTTGTTTGGCTTCTAATTCTGTCTCATACTAACATTTAGTATAAAAAACTTTAATATCATGGATTTAGTTATCGAAAATCATTGACAATCAATATACTTGTTTGTCGCAAGACCTTAAACTCGAATGATTACTTTGGCCTGAAGAGCATCCGCAAGATTTTTTGAAGTAATCAAGGGCCATAACTCTAGCAATAATTATCGGAAATCGTCTCAAGACAGTAAACACAGTGTATAGATTTTTCAAAGTGATCAGGGACTATAACTTGGTAATCATTGAAAATCAATAAGATTCTTCGTCTCATAAATTTAAACACCATGTATAACTTTAAAGTCAATCAGATATTAACTTTAGCCTCTATACCGTCCACACGGTTTTTCAAAGTGATCAAGGGCCATAGATATGTTATGATAATTTCAAGAAAGGGAAGTGACCAACTCAAAGGGAAAACATGAGCTATATCCTTCTATATAACTGACTTAAGTGTCGAGTGATAACAGATACATTGACATATTTCTGCTCAATATTCCTAAGATATTTGGAATAGTGCTCAAAAAATGACACAACTTTTGTACTAGTTACAAATAAATTTAAGTCATCTTTGTTTTTCAAGAAAAAGTGTCTATCCCTTATTTTCCAGAACAAATTTAGAATTGGTAAGTAAAATCTACATATATGTAATAGTTATTAGCACACTTTCCGAGGTGTATCGGTGAATATCAGGACAGTTTTGGTCGAGAGGCCCATCCGAGGCAGCTCCCGACCAAAACTGTCCTGATATTCACCGATACACCGAGGAAATGTGCTAATAAGTTACTTACATCACATTTCTATCGAGTATTGTGAAGCAAAATTATCGAGTCGTTTCAACCGAAAAGTGACAAATACTTTCTGCTCTTTCATTTATCCCTTTCTGAACCTCACGTTACATTTCATGGTAGAATGATTTCGCAGTGGAGAGACGACCTGAGTAGTATTTACACGTGCGTCTTGCTATGATACTCTGAGCGTAAAACAATCACGTGTTTGTTTAGACCACATCGTCAAAACAACTTGTCTATGGCGTAGAGGACAGCGATATTATTAAATGTAGTGTAAAGGAAATGCGAAACGTGGGTCATTCCTGGTAAAAGTATGCATCGGCGGATGGTTCTTCCGTTGAAATTTATTTGTAATAAAGTTTATGACTTTCTAGGCGTTTTTTTTCATCCTGCTTATTTTCAATGCCTGTGAAGTGTCCAGCAAGAGAACTGCACCTTCTATCATCACAATTAATTAAAATAATTATTCAATATTCTTATTTATATATTTTGCATATAAATCAAACCAAATTATGAAATAGATGCCAATTGATATGTATAATAATTGATTTTTGTAATATGTTGTTATGTTAATTTAATGTCATTGTATATGTTTTTGAACTGCCATGTAGTTCCCCCCGGTTTGTTTTGTTACTATGATTTTGACTAGTTGTTTCATGTACATTATCCTTGTGCATTGTATAGAGCCATCGTTATCAATTGCGATCTGGGTAGGACTAAACGTCCGCTACTTATTGCTTGATAGTTATCTAAAACAGTATAAAAGAATCCGTGTATCAGAAATGAACAGTACTTTTTCTGTATATTTCTGATACACGGATACTTTTAAGCATGTATTGAAAATAAACAGGACAGTTTTATCAAAGGTTGCCAGTGGCAACGAGTAGAAGTGGGATGTAACAGTATTTTTTATACATCTTTTGACAACTTTATTTATCAAAGATAAAATATTTATTGTTCTCAGATAATACGAATTTAGTGTCTGTAATGTCAGTCCTGTAATATTCCATCCTGTATCAGATTTTGTCACCAACAATTAAAATGAAATGAAATGAAATGGGGTTTAACGTCCTACTGTTCTGCTCCGAACTGGGCTAATGAAGACGGGTGAACTTTCTCGGCCAATGCAGGGATCGAACACCCGACTTAATGGCATAGCGAGCCAGCGTCTTACCCACTTTGCCACCGTGACCCCGTGACCAACAATTGGATGGAATGTGTAGCTTGTCACCGAAATAAATAATATGAGTAGCTGATAATAGAATAATTCCTTACCACTCTCTGGTTCAAGTCTTTGTACAATATCTTCATATCAATGTGTCTTTAAAACATTTAAGAATGTTTTATATGACTCATGTCCTCTTTTCATTAACATTTTGAACATCTTTTTAATCTTCTTACGCTTAGTTGATAAAGCTTCTATTTTTTCAACATCGTCAATATTAAGCACATATTCAGAAAGCAGAGGATCTATTAAAACATCGGGATCTAATTCTTCTATGAGAAGTATCCAATTACTCGTTATCCTTGAAGGATCCCATGGTGCCATTGTTCCTTTTTGCTCTAAGGTTTAGTACAAAAGAACATTTAATATAGTGGGTTAAGCTGTTCAAGTTATAAAAAAATCATTGTCTCATGCTCTTACTTACTGAGTATAAATTTAAAGTCAATCAGATATTCACTTTAGTCCCTAAAGCATCCACAAGCAATTGTGGAAGCCGGACGTATGGGTGTGATGACAATATACATGTACGACCACATTTCAATACTCTATAATCATTTTAAGGCTATTGAATTCGTATATGATCATCCTTTCCATCTGTCAGTCTTTTCACTGTACAAATTACAACTAGTTATGGATTCTTTTGATATTTATTTTCTGTGTCAATATCATTATAAAGATATAAATGCACAAACCTGTAAGATCTGGTATACGGGTCAAAATTGGTAGAGATTCCTGTTTTTCTGCACTTTTTTTAATACTACCTGAAAACACACAGTTTTAAGTATTCACTAAATACATTATAATGTATTTGATTATATTACAATAGACAAAGAAAGGTTGCCAGACAACAAAACATATGCCCACAGCAGCTAAATTGTACGGGCAGTCAACAAGAGTTGTTGCATATTTTTAATTTTTTCGGTAATGAAACACTTACATACACTATATTCTAATTAAGAGTTCCAACTCATTAAGTAAATATCAGGAAATCATTAGAATTTGTTTGGCTTGGCTTCTAATTCTGTCCCATGCTAACATTTAGTATAAAAAACTTTTAATATCATGGATTTAGTGATCAAAAATCATTGACAATCCATATACTTGTTTGTCTCAAGACCTTAAACTCTGTGTACCAATCTAAAGTCAATCGAATGATTACTTTGGCCTGAAGAGCGTCCGCAAGATTTTTGGAAGTAATCAAGGGAAAATAACTCTAGCAGTAATTATCGGAAATCGTCTCAAGACAGTAAACACAGTGTATAGATTTTTCAAAGTGACCAGGGACTATAACTTGGAAATCATTGAAAATCAATAAGATTCTTCGTCTCATAAATTTTAACACCATGTATAAGTCAATCGGATATTAACTTTAGCCTCTATACCGTCCATCGATTTTTCAAAGTGATCAAGGGCCATGGCAGTAATTATCGTAAAACGTTGAGAAATCAGTAAGCTTCTTCGTCTCATGACCTTAAACACTGTGTATAAATTTAAAGTCAATCGGATATTAACTTTAGCTTACAGCGTCCCCAAGATTTCTCAAAGTGATCAAGGGCCATAACTCTGGCAGTAATTATCGGAAATCGCTGAAAATCAATAGGCTTCTTCGTCTCATGACCTTAAACACTGTGTATAAATTTAAAGTCAATCAGATATTAACTTTGACCTCTAGAGCGTCAGTCATTATCACATATGCGATAAAACTTGTTAAACATGTTTCAAATATAATTTTAACACAGAGATCATTGCTACAATAGATGTGTTATGACGATTTCAAGAAAGAGAAGTGACCAACCCAAAGGGAAAACACAAGTTATCCTTCTATATAACTGACTTAAGCGTTGAGTAATAACAGATACATTGACGAATTTCTGCTCAATATTCCTAAAATATTTGGAATAGTGCTCAAAAAACGACAAAACTTTTGTACTAGTTTTTACAAATAAATTTAAGTCAACTTTGTTTTTCAAAAAAAAAGTGTCTATCCCTTATTATTTTCCAGAACAAATTTAGAATTGGTAAGTAAAATCTACATGTATGAATATTTTTTAATGCATCTTTTGACAAGTTTATATATCAAAGATAAAATATTTATTGTTCTCAGATAATACGAATTTAGTGACTGTAATGTCCTGTAAAGTGTCCTGTAATATTTCATCCTGTATCAGATTTTGTCACCAACAATTGAAATGAAATGAAATGGGGTTTAACGTCCTACTCCGAACTGGGCTAATGAAGACGGGCATATGCCATACAGTGTGCTGTGAGGCCTACTCTTATATCGAATTCCAACTTTCAAGGGATCTTTTACGTGCACGCCAATGTGTACACAGGACCTCCGTCCTGCATCACTGACAAGGGGGAACCACACCGGAAAATCTGGGTGAACTTTCTCGGCCAATGAAGGGATCAAACACCCGACTTCCTGACATAGCGAGCCATCATCTTACCCACTTAGCCACTGTGACCCCTGTCACCAACAAATAGATGGAATGTGTAGCTTGTCACCGAAAAAATAATATGAGTAGCTAATAATAGAACAAGCCAACAAATAAATCCCCAAATAAATAGATGACACATATTAATTAATCGTACATCTATTTTTTTCTAAAGTATCGAGCAATCAAACTGATTATCAACCATACACTAAGTTTCATCACTCTCTATCAGATAGAATCAAAGTTATCTTGTCCCAAAGCATTGACCAAGGAAATTGCTTATCTCTGCTCGATATGTTAATCATTGAACTCAGTCAAGACGACATCAAGTTTAAACATTCTACCTCAATTAGAAGCAGAGTTGTTATGTTCCAAAGTCTTGACCAATCAAAATGCTTATTGCCCCTTAGCCTAAGCAGGCAATTCTCATCATTGAACTTAGTAAAGATATTGATGTAATGAAACTATACACCAAGTTTCATCACTCTCACTTAATTAGAACTAAAGTTATCGTGTCCCAAAGCATCAACCAATCAAATTGCTTATCTCTACTTACCATAAGCAAGAAAATGCTCATCTTCGCACTCTATCAAGGCATTTGCCTCATAAACACCTACACCCAGTTTGAACATTCTAGCTCAATTAGAAGGAGAGTTATTGTGTTCCAAAGTCTCGGCCAATCAAATTGCTTACCCCCGAGCAGAAAATGATCATTATCGAACTTAGTCAAGGTATTGATGTAATGAAACTATACACCAAGTTTCATCACTCTCACTTAATTAAAACTAAAGTTATCGTGTCCCAAAGCATCAACCAATCAAATTGCTTATCTCTGCTTACCCTAAGCAGAAAATGCTCATCTTTGAACTCCATCAAGGCATTGACTTAATAAACACCTACACCAAGTTTGAACATTTTAGGTTAATTAGAAGGAGAGTTATTGTGTCCCAAAAAGTGTGACGGACGGACGGACGGACGGACGGACGGACAGACAGACAGACAGACAGACAGACAGACAGACGAACCCATTTTAATAGTCCCCCGCCTTTCGAATTTCTGATTCAAGTCTTTGTACAACATATTCATATCCATGTGTCTTTAAAACATTTAAGAATGTTCTATATGACTTATGTTCTCTTTTCATTAACATACAGAGCATCTTTTCAGTCTTCTTACGTCTAGTTGATAAAGCATTTAATTGTTCAACATCGTCAATACCAAGCACACGTTCACAAAACAGAGAACGTATTAAATCATCGGGAACTAATTCTTGTATGAGAAGTATCCAATTGCTCATTATCCTTGAAGGATTCAATGGTGCCATTGTTTTTTTTGCTCTATTAGAGGGATTGAATCAATTATTTGACATTCATCAGTACCTGTATGTGAATAACATATTGAGTAATGTCAAAAATTTTATACATGTTCTTCTTGATAGAGTGGGGGAAATGGGGTTTAACGTCCACTCAACACAAACTAGGTCATTTCGGGACTAACACATGGTTCAATTTCATTTCAATCATTCGTTTGCGTGTAAGGGTCTTTAGCAGTGGGAGGAAACCGGAGGACCCAGAAAAAACCCATGAGGTTGGAAAGGCGACCCTACTCTTTGTCACGTACAACCGGGGAATCGAAACCCCACCAGTTGACTCAATGACAGACCGTATGATACAGCGCGCGCGTGCTAACCATTCGGCCATCCAACCCCCCATACTTCTTGATATAAACATCACCAAATATTGGCTGAATCCTATTTAGCGAGGAGACCAAATTTGGAGAATTGATTTTTTAATCATAAATTTAGTGTCTATAACATTCCATCCTGTAATGGCTAATTTTATTACTGAATAGACAGATTTTGTTACAGGATTGACAATTGACGATATAAATTCTTAAATTGGCTTTAATTAATGATTTAGACAGTTAATAATTACTACATTAACAAATCACACCGGGTAGCTTTTTTGGAGAGTCATAATTTGCAAAAAGAGGAGATAGCCAAATACAGAAAACAAAGATTGTTACAGCCATCCTGTAAACCCTGAACGGAGACATTGTATATCAGATTTTGTCACCAACAAGTAGATGGAATGTGTAGCTTGGCGATAACTATGAATAATGGTCAGCCATTAAACACTGACAGATTTTCAGGGGCGGATCTAGGAATTTTTGCAGGAGGGGTTTTGCTACATTTCTGAACTAAACCTAGTCCGCGTGAGAGCTCATGCAAACTCGCTCTCTGTCTATGTCGTGGCTGGATTACACACATTGCTTTCGTTAAGGAAAGGGTGTGCACCCCCCAAACCCCGACTCTGGATCCGCCATTGATTTTCTCTGGTGTGTCTTGGCTTTATATTTAATATACTAGTAGAAAGCATGAGAGAGAGAGAGAGAGAGAGAGAGAGATGGTGTTTAACTTCCACTAAACATAAACTAGGTCTTTTTGGGACAATTCTACCACCCAACTCCCCTTAATATCTAGTAACATACCGGCTTCTTTCTCCAAGGTGTCTTTATCATCTGTTTTCTGCTGATCAAGTTGTTCTTTGTCTGTTTTCTGCTGATCAAGCTGTTTTCCATCTGTTTTCTGCTGATCAAGTTGTTTTTCATCTGTTTTCCGCTGATCAAGTTGTTCTTTGTCTGTTTTCTGCTGATCAAGCTGTTCTTGCAAACTAGAAATAATCTGTTCCTTCTCTTTAAGGATGTCTGAATATTTTTTAGCTTCATGTTCCTTGTATTTCTCCATTTCATGAGAGTGTACAGATGTGGCCTTTAATGCACAATTTTCAATCTGCAGTTCTTTTATTTGTAATTTCAAGGATTTGATTTCATTTTCATGGTCAATAATGCTGCTTCCAGGCAACGGGATTTCCTCATCTTAAAAAAACATAAGTTCCAAAACATGTTTTTAACAAGTATTTTGTTAAGAAAAAAAGCTAAACTGGCTTTGTTGTCAATCGGTACTTCAATACTATCATTACACTAATAATCTCTCTAGCTACATGTAATGTTAAATGAACTACAGGTTTAATGTCCTATCAATACACTAATAATCTTTCTAACTACTGGGGTTCAATGTCCTACTTTCAATACACTAATAATCTCTCTAACTCCTGGGGTTTAATGTCCTACTATCAATACACTAATAATCTCTCTAACTACTGGGGTTGATTGTCCTACTATCAATACACTAATAATCTCTCTAACTACTGGGGTTGATTGTCCTACTATCAATACACTAATAATCCCTCTAACTACTGGGGTTGAATGTCCTACTATCAATACACTAATAATCTCTCTAACTACTGGGGTTGATTGTCCTATTATCAATGCACTAATAATCTCTCTATTGTTAACTGAAATGAACAGGGGTTTAATGTCCTACTTTTTTGCTAATGAAGACAGACATATGACATGTCGTCAGCTATGAGGGCTATTCTTATTTCAAATAAGAATTTCAAATAAGGCCTATTCTTATTTCAAATTCAAACTCTCTAATTTTTTTTTTTTTTTTTTGATGTGAATGCCAAATTGTACAAAGGACCTTGGTTTTCCATACCCTCTGAACAACTAGACATTAAAAAATTATCTTTGATAATAGTGATAATAATATAATACTAAATGGAAACAAATTAATATCTAAGTGAAATGAAATGAAATGGGGTTTAACTTCTTACTGTTCTGCTCATATAGTGGGCTAATAAAGACGGGCATACGCCATACAGTGTGCCATGAGGGAAATTTTTCCCGGGTAGCGGCACTATCGCCTACTCTTATATCGAATTCCAACTGCCAAGGGATCTTTTACGTGCATTCCAATGTTTACACGGGATCTCGGTTTTCCGTATCATCCGAAGGACTAGACAGGTGTCCTTGTCAGGCCCTCCGTCCTGCATCACTGACAAGGGGAAACCATGTCGGAAAATCGGGATGAACTTTCTTGGCCAATGCAGGGATCGAACACCCGACCTCCAGGCTAGCGAGCCAGCGCCTTACCCACCTAGCCACCGTGGCTCCCTAATATCTAAATAATAAGTAATTCAGATGATAGTTATCTATCACTTTACAAGACATCATAATAGAGATAAAATATATAAGACAACCCTCAGTTTGTCTAATGCAGCATTAAGTCTAAGTATTGAACTATTGAAGGCAACTTTGTCTCAGTAAAGGATAACAAATCATGCGAAAATTAGGCAATATGGACCAGGAACCATGCATGACATCAACACAACCATCTTGGAATGGTCAAATCAGACATCGTCAAGTGATGCGCAACTGTCCAAGGATCAAACATGCCAATTGTGTTTGAATTGGTGGAGCCTTAGATTTCTTTTTAAGAGTCTGGCCCACTAGAAGAAGAAACAACAAGATGAATAGCACACGGGATCAGTTCCTGATTTAGATCAGAGCATAATTATTTGCAATTAGTTTTCTAATTAGTCTGTTTTGAAGCATCAGCTATTTACTGCTTATAATATCTTTATATGTATACAGCACTCAGATAGGGACAAATTTAAGAAGTGTGATCTAGACTATTAGGCCACACTAATTTGGGAAAAAAACAAAAATACTAGCTAAAACCAAAAATACTTGGTTGGGCTGTTCAAAAGCTTTCAGTTCCAAATTTTTACATCCTGAAATTTTAACAAAGCATCTTTCATGTGATTCATGTAGCTTTGTATTTATTAAGACCTTGACAAACAGAAAATCAAATTTGTGTGGCCTTACTTAAATGTTGATGATTTACAATTGTACATTATATTGCAAGTAATTCGCATCCTGAAATAAAGAGAGAGAAATGGGGTTTAACGTCCATAGACACAAACTAATGTCATTTCGGGACTAACACATGGTTTAGTTTTATTTCAATAATTCGCTTGCACGTAGGGATCGTTAGCAGTTAGAGGAAACTGGAGGACCCAATGAAAACCTACAAGGTTGGACAGGCGACCCTACTCCTTGTCACATACAATCTGGGAATTGAAACCATCCACTTGACTCCATGACAGACCTTATGATACAACATGAAATAAAAGATGAATGTATCTACTGATAAGCACTAGATTAAAATCTTATGGTCATCCACAATAATAAAATGGATTCATTTGCCCCTCGATGTTAAAAAGTTAGCCTGGGTCTTGTTATGAAGGATCACAACAAAAGCTGTTACCTTCTGTAAGTTTTTCAAATGAAAATCCTTCAGGTGAAACTTTGTTATCACCAATTTTCCCGGAATTCACAGCTGTTTCTAAAATTTGACGCAGTTCATGTTCACTTTTTTTACCAACAGATATCAGATGAAATGTGACTTCAACACAGCCCTTCCTACAAAACATGAACAATATACATCACACATGACTTCAAACAGCCCTTCCTTTAAACCATGAAAAAATGAAATTAAAGATAAATTCACCATAGCCTTCCTACAAAACATGAACAAATGAAATGAACTGAAATGGGGTTTAATGTCCTACTGTTCTGCTCTGACTGGGCTAATGAAGACGAACATATGCCATACAGTGTGCCATGAGGGAAATGTTGCCCCGACAGTGGCGCTACGGCCTACTCTAATATCTATATCCAACTGCCAAGGGTTCTTTTACATGCACGGCAGTGTGTACACAGGACCTCGCTTTTTCGTCCCATCCAAACGACTATATGTTCTCCAAAACATGAATAATATACAGGAGTTCAACAATGTTAAATTTTATGGAGTATATGTAATGATGCAGAAAATGGCAGTGGTTAGTCACCTATACTCACGTTAGCTTTTTAACTACAACTATTTCAGTAGATTCTGGATACTGTAACTCTATATCACATTCAATCATTTCAATAAATTCTTTATGCTTGGGACTAGTGTAATCCATAATTTCAACTAATTCATGTCCAGGGTATTTTATGGTGCCTTTATATTCCTCTGTAAAATAATTTATTGTTAATCAATCTCCAATCCCCCAAAAACATTATAAATCAAGATGCACACAGAGTGGCGACTGCTTCATTTGCATAAAAAGTAGTTCGCGCACTGCATCTTGGGGTTTGTCTGTAATGTCACCACAGAGTAACAGTAAGCCTAATACTGTTATCTATTCAAAATCACATTTCCCCTTTTACTGGTAGGCCTTAATCTGACCAATAAAATATTTACTAAAGCACTATCACTAATTTTAAACCATTCAGTAATTCAAAATAATTTTAATTTACTCTGTGATTATCTATATAGTATCAGTATGCTGTATGGTTAACTTCAGTTTGTATGGCAGATAATTCCATAATAGTACACAGTATAAATTAAATTTTCTATTTCTAAATAATCAGTTGACAAAAAAAATCACAAAAATAAAAGTAACTCTGAACACAGATCAGACCTAATGGAATGGATATCTAGAGCAAACTTCGGATTTATAATAATTTAATATATTCTTGTGCAGTAGTGTAAAATGGACAATTTCATTAGGAGGCCTATAAAGGCTGTCAAAACATTACATGACACCCAGAGCAATATGCAAAATATTCATTCTCAAGTTGTTTTTGGTTTATACTTGTTTGTAAAAAGAGAAACCAATCAATTCAAATAATGTTTATTGAAAAATGTTATAGGACTATTTAAATAGAATTTTAATATCTTTAATTATTCTATTTTTTAAAAATGAAAGCCTACATTAATTAATGGAACAAAAATTATAAAAGCACACGGTGAGTCAACATTGGAGCCAAATTAAGGTATTTTATCTTGGAAAACAACCAACGACTCAAATCTGTTTATTGGAAAACGTTATATGCCAATTTGAAATTCAATTTTAATATTCTTAAAAATTATTATTTTATATTTTAATGAAAGCTTACTTTATTAACATAACATAAATAAGAGAAGCACACAGTAATAAGCTCTAGAAGACATGGGAATTTTTCTTTGGGAGAAAAAATAAATCATTTTGATGTTGAGTAAAATAGGCCTTAAATGTCCCATTTTAAGGTGTATGGAAATTACATTTCAAATCTAATAAAACCTCTTAAAAATCGACAATAATTTACGGCCTTAAATAGACCAATTCGTAAACTGTCACAAATGCCGTCTCTCGTCTCAGTTCTTTCATTCCGGGCCGTACACGCTTTATGCATGTTTTAAAAATATGAATCATGTTTTATAAATTCCCGAAACACACACACACAACTAACATATTATGATTGTATGTGATAATTCTCAGTAGTTTTGTTACCGAAAATACTATAAAACTACGAAATTAAAGAGATTTAGTTCATCGATATAGATAGATATCAATAACGTTGTTGAGCGAACTGTCAGTGTGTGTTTATTACAGACAATTCTAAAGGTGCATTGCGCGTCGCAGTGTTTCTATTGGCCGTAATGCGAGTCGCCACTCTGTGTATTTTTACTCTGTGATATAGATATAGTAATGTCGTTGAGCGAACTGTCAGTGTGTGTTTATTACAGAGAATACCAAGATGCATTGCGCGTCACAGTGTTTCTATTGGCCGTAATGCGAGTCGCCACTCTGTGTATTTTTACTCTGTGCTACATGTATGTAAGAGTTAAATATGTCCATTTCAGGTGTTTTGGGGGGCTTCAAAATTATTATTTAAAGATACATTATGGGAGATTAAATAAGAGCTGGCAGTTCTCACTAGAATAGCTAAAAAGGGAATTTTCTGAAAATTTCAGTCAAATTGATCCACTCTGAACCGAGAATTTATAGTGAATGAATTTTCGGCCTAGCCTTGATCATCATTACTAAAGTCAGTACAATAAAAAACAGTCTCGATTATCCAAATCATGATTAAATCATGAATGAAAGTTGAGCAGCAAATCAGATCCTAATCCAGTAAATATTGCAGGCTAGCGATGACATCAAGAGTTGATTGTGGTCTGGATAAATTAATTAATGTCTAATAATTTAGATAACATTTCATGCCTAAAGAAAGACCTGTAAAAGGCAGATTTAGCTCTTGCATAATGTATGTTTAAGCATTTACATGTATTCACATGACAAGCCCATAATTAATTCTTCAGACCATTGAATGACTAAGACAGTATGTGGATTAGACAATGCCTTTCATACATTTATCTTCATTAAGATGGAAAATCAAAACTCTGTTTATTGTTATCGCAGTAATGCTACTTGATAATCAAGACTACATGTATTTACGCTAGTTCTCGCCAAAACTTATACATGCATAACTTCGCTCAGAATAAAGTAATTTGTCTGAAATTTTCAATATATTCATTTTTCATTATCAATTTTTAAACTATTATAGCAGAAACAGGCATCTCTTTATCTAACGACTGCATGTCATTTTGGGACTGACATAGGGTACCATTTGTTTTAATAATTTACTTAATAAATTTGAAAGATTACCGCCCATGATGTTCTCTTTTTCGTACTTTATAATATATATAATTGATATAACATTTACTTTACACATAAAATGATTGCAAATATAATGTCGCCTTCATTTCTTGTCACTGAACAAAATAATTTGAGTAGCTGATAATAGAATGATTCCTTACCACTCTCTGGTTCAAGTTGTTTTATAACATGTCTATATCCATATGTCTCTAAAATCTTTAAGAATATTTTATATGCCTTGTTTCCTCTTCTCATCAACATATAAAGCATCTTTTCATTCTTCTTACGCCTAGTTGGTAAAACATCTATTTCGTCAACATTGTCAATATCAAGAACATATTTAGAATACAGAGGCGTTTTTAAAACATCTGGATCTAATTCTTCTATGAGAAGTTCCATATTACTCCGTATCCTTGAATGATCCCATGGTGCCATTGTTCCTTTTTGCTCTATCAGAGGGATTATATCAACTATTTGATATTCATCAGTACCTGTATATGAATAACATATTGAGTAATATCAAATATTTTATACATGTACTTCTTGATATAAACATCACCAAGAATTGGCTGAATTCTATTTAGCAAGGGGACCACAGTGGCTCAGTGAGTTAGGTGCTGACTCACTGATCTGAATGTTCTTGGTTTGATCCTCATTCTGCTGGACCAGAAGGTTAACCCGAGATTTTCCAGTGTGGATTCCCCTGTTCAATGGTACATCTGTCTAGACATGATTTCCTTCATGGTACATAAAAAGGGGTGAAGTTTTAAGTGTATGACTATGACCACAGCAAGAAATCGTAGCAAATGTGAACAAAACTGTAAAAAAAACCCAGCTGACGGGTTCAGAGATTCGATTTAATCCTATTCCTACACAAAATCATCTTTACATCAACGTTATTACTTTTTATATTATAAAATGTTTGCAGATCAGTTATTGGTACTAGAGCGGTTTAATATGCCGCTGTCCCAATAGGGCTGATCAGCTTCTTGAGAAGATAATATATTATAAAATATGAACTATGTTTGGATTTCACGGGATGTGGCATACACAAGTACAATATTTAAATGGACTGTTCTACCCTCTTTTCTACAAAATATACTGCATTGCCAACACTGTGACATAAATGGTTGCAAAAGGCACTACATGTAGTATGATATAAATAATAAGATTAAAGGACAATGTTCGTGTCAGCCAATATGTGATAGAATTGGTTAAACACATTCCAAATATAATATTAACACAGAGATCATTGCTATGTTAGATGCGTAACCAAGATTTGATCTAACTGGAAGTGACTGTAGCAAAAGGAAAACTTGAGTTATCCTTATATATAACTGAATGAAGTTCAGAGGGATAATAGATACACGGTCAATTTACAGCTCACTAATAATTACTTTATTTAAAGATGAAAAGTTGTAATAATAGACTGTGAGAGGATATCTGTTCGAAACTAACAATTCATAAAAATAATTGATTGTCACAAGATTAAGAGAATTAATATTAATTCTTTACTTTTAAGAAATATAAATAAAACATACAAATCTCACCAGTTTTGGCAACAGCTTTCAGATCAGTCTCCTCAACCACTTCTTCAGTCTGTACATGTATATCGCTGGCAATCCCACTTTCCTGTTTAAGTTTTTCAATTATTTCATTCTGAAGTTTTATTGTTTCTAGTGCAGCGGCAAGTTTTCCTAAGACATCATTTTCTTGTATGACATGAACTTGATTTTTTTGTGGTAAAGACGTTTGAGATGATATCTGGGGTATTTGACCAGTTACTATTTTCTGCTTTTCACCGATGGGTGATTCCTTAGAATTCCTGTTCCTTGTGTTGTTTTGTAGGTGATCTTGCCCTGCATTCTGAACAAATCCAAGTCCAGGTTCCACATCAATTGGTTTAACAGGTTTTGAAACTGACTGTGCTTGTTCTATTTTAGTCATTACAAATGGTAGGTCTGTGTCTACACTAATGTTATCACAGATTGACTGCATTTTATAACTGTATCTTCGAAATCATATGTTTAGCTGTGAGATGTGATGGATGGTCAATAAAGTCTTGTAATGGAGTGTCTTAAAATTTATTAATGAATATTGAAGATTGAAAGGTGTACCAGTAGATTCAACAAAAGAGGAACCTCTGCTTTGTTTCCTGTATGTAGGCCTATTCTCTATGCCAACGGTTTTTTGTAATAAGAGAATGTAGAAAAATCATTCTTGTGAGCTACATGTAGAGATTGAAAACCTGGAAAAGAATGAAAGATGATTGTTGTAAAAATCATTTAAATCAATTGCATTCTCGGTATCACCAGTGGTATCATTCAGGTGTACGTCACTAACTTCTGGGGTATATCAGGAAGTTATGGTCCAATTTGTGTCAATATCAAAAGTAACCAAAATCGTTGGGCTATAAACATACATTTTAAGTTTCGTCAAAATTGGCCAAAAATTGTGATCTCTAAAGTGTCTACAAACTAAAGACACTATTTTTCGAACAGTCAGGGACCATAATCCATTAAGGTACCGTTCAATACATGCCAATATCGAAAAGGACCGAGATCTTTGGGCTAAATACTTCCACTGAAGTGACATAAATAGAGTATGCAAAAGTTAGATGAAAGAAACACATTGTGGTCTGATCCCATACACAGACATTCCAATTTCTGCCCTATTGCCAAGTCCTTCAGTTGATTTTCACAAAACTGCTCTCTAGAGGCCGCAATTTTCAAACTTTAGGATAATGGTTCTTAGGAGTAAACAATGGCTGTGATTGATTTTGAGCTCAATCGCTATAGCCTTTAAATTAGCATAAATTTGTTTGTCCACTCTTTAGAGTCCGGAGCCACGATGGCTTGGTGGTTAAGACGCTGGCTCGCTAGCCTGGAGTTCGGGTGTTCGATCCCTGCATTGGCTGAGAAAGTTCATCTGGATTTTCCGACGTGGTTTCCGCTTGTCAGTATAGTGCAGAATGGAGGGCCTGACAAGGATAGCTGTCTAGTCCTTTGGATGAGACAAAAAACAGAGGTCCTGTGTATACATTACAATGCACGTAAAAGATCCCTTGGCAGTTGGAATTCGATATAAGAGTAGGCAAAATTTCCCTCATAGCACACTGTATGGCGTATGCCCGTCTTCATTAGCCCAGTATAGGAGCAGAACAGTAGGACGTTAAACCCCCATTTCATTTCATTTCATTTCTCCAAATCAGGCATTCATTGGCAAAACATAAAGAAGATTTGAATCTCATTTATTTTTAATTAAACTATGAAATATTCCCAACCATTATTTAAACAGTTTGGGGAGAGTGAAAAAGGAATTGGAGAAAGTGATTTCCAAGTAAGCATTCCAGTCAGTACTTTGAAGACAATCATACTATGTTTATTCAATGCAACACTCTTTTATCATAACCATCTTATAATAGATTTTAAGGGCCATGTTATAACTTAAAACAAGCCAACAATGAGGCTGGTGTCCCATGCCGAAATCCCAAAATAAACAGATGACACATATGAATTAATTGCACATTTATCTTTTCGAAAAGTATCCAATAATTAGACTGATTATCTATGCTTAGTCTAAGCATAAAATGTTCATGATCAGACTCAGTTAGGTTTTGAAGTACCTGGTATAGTTAAACTATGCACTAGTTTCACCACTCTCCATCAGTTAGAGAGAGAGAGAGAGAGAGAGAGAGAGAGAGTTTAAGATCCACTCAACACAAACTAGGTCATTTCGAGACTATAACATTTGGTTCAATTTCATTTCAATAATTCGCTTGCACGTAGGGGTGATAAGCAGTGGGAGGAAACGGAGGACCTAGAGAAAACCCTTGGTTGGACAGACGACTCTACTTCTCGTCACACACAACCGGGGAATCGAAACCATGCCAGTTAACTCAATGACAGATCTTATGATACAGTGCATACCATCGTGTTCCAAAGTCTCAACCAATCAAAGTGCTTATCTCTGCTTAGCCTTAGTGAAAAATGCGCATGATCAAACTTAGTCAAGTTATTGATGTGATGTCATGGCATTCATTCATCTACACCAATTTTGAAAATTTTACCTCAGTTAGAAGGAGAGATATTGTGTTCCAGATATTGTGATACAAAGTCTCGACCAATCAGATTGAAATCTCTACCTTGCCTAAGCAGAAAATGCTCAGCATCGAAGTTTGTAAAGGTATTGATTTTATGAAACTATACACAAAGTTTCACCACTATCACTCAATTACAATCAAAATTGTAAAGCTTCAAAGTTGTAAAACTTACCCTGAACCAAAATGGTTAATAATCACACTTAGTCAAGGTATTGACGTGATGAAACTATACACCAAGTTCCATCACTCTCATTTAATTAGAACCAGAGTTATCGTGTCCCAAGGCATCAACCAATTAAATTGCTTATGATCTGCTTACCCTAAGCAGAAAATGCTCATCTTCAAACTCCATCAAGGCATTCACCTGATGAATGCCTACACCTAGTTTGAACATTCTAATTCGAAGGAGTTATTGTGTTCCAAAGTCTCGACCAATCAAATTGTTTATCATGCACTCTGCTGACTGAGCAGAAAATGCTCATTATCACCAAATAACACATTCTACAGTAGATATCGCTAGTATGATAACTTCCATAATCTAATGGAGCGATATCTCCTAAGGAGATATCGCTTTACAATAATTTGATTTGTACGTGTAAAAAAGGTTTGGGTAAGAAATAAAATCCCCTACTTAAAATAGTCTTTTTTGATATCCAAAAAGATTTGTAAAAGATTCTCTATATAACCAGAGAAATTTGTTTCTTTATAGGATGGGTGAGGTGTGGAGGCCTATTTATTTTTAAGTTTTACTGATTTTGTTAATTGAAACAAATATATTATTATTGGTCATAATAATTGTTGTTTTCCATTCCTGAATCCTGAAACATCTATACCTTGCCAACTGACTAGCCGTCACCTATAAAATGAACAGTGTGGGTTTTTTTTGGTTTTTTAAGATATACATCTAGGAAAGGTTTCTGCTCCATACCTATAGCTGACCTGTGACATCCCATTTTCTGTTTCACCATTACATGGTATGGTCAAATATGCATTTCAAGTAGCTGTCATCAAATAAACAAACAAGATAACAATACGAAAACATTCTGTATGTATTCATCACATCAAGAAATAGATTGGTTAAAACTTGCAAAGCTCTGGGATTTTTACATGGTTGGTTATTAACCGTTAATACTGTAAAAGTTGCTTTAGTGCTAATGAGTAAGCTTGATCATGGGATCTTGAAAATATAACAACAAATAGTTCATAGTCTGCTAAATTTGAACGTGCAGAATTCCCACTTAGAATGCCTACTTAACGACAGTCAACCATTAATTATGTTCATATTCTACAGATGTCACGTACATGATTTAGATAGCCAACAGTTCCAGGCCTTAATTTGCCTGTATTGTTCAATTTAATCCTTTAGTTCTGGCTGAGTAATGTGAAAGAATAGATAGACTGACTATTAAACTCTCATCTTAGGTAAGTGTACTTAATTTATGAAACAAATGGGTATAGATTAGATGGGTGAAACTATCTGACCCAGATCAGAATAGCCCAGATGGAAGAAATAAAATTTTGCATCTACATTATAAAGCTTACTTCCGATAGATATATGAATTCAAATAATACTTGACTGTAATTTAAAGCTGTCAAATTCCATTCTTATATAGAAAAATGGGTTTTGTCTGCAATTGCGAATGAACCAGATAATATTTACATATACATTTATTTAATACATAAATTTAAATACACTGTAGACATTTATACTAAATACACTGTATAACATACATAATTTACAAAGACATCAATATCTATTTGATATGGAGGGGGGCGAATGGTTTAACATGAACACATGGAATCATAAGGTCTGTCATTGAGTCTGTGACGTGGTTCGAGTCTCCACTTTTACGTGACAAGGAGTAAGATCACTTGTTCAACTTTGTGGGTTTTCTCCGAGTCCTCCCTCTGCTAGAGAACCTTAAATGCGCAAGCGAATTATTTAAATAAAAAGGAACCATATGTTGGACCCCAAAATGACCTACTTTGTGTCGAGTGGACATTAATGTTCACCTCATGTTATTTAATCAGATTTGAGGGGTATGAATTAGGGATTATCCAAACTGTTGATCAATTAGTACTCCCCTCATGCCTTTGAATCACAGCATGCAATGTTTTGGGATGACTTGGATGGTTATATCTATTCTTTCATTCACAAATTTTTCTGGACTTATGGTCTGTATACATGATGCTCCTTATTACTAGTTGGAATAGAAGTGGCAGACCTGTCAACTCTACCGCATCATGCGGTAAATTGATGCGAAAAGGCATCATTTACCGCTCTACTCCGTGGCAATAGATATCTACGCTACCGCATTTTCAAACAGAGTTTTTTTTTACAATTTTCTAACCAAAACTATGGAACTATATAAGGGACGCAACTCTTTGCATGTAAACAAAAAAGGTAGCAACTTTCGGTTATCAACATCGATTTGGGATATTGTAAGGTGTAATTTAGCCAATAGATTTGTTATCAAATAGTTTTCAACCTATTTTAGAGTTAATGTAGAGGATATAATTGTTGGCACATGTTAAAAATCCTTAACCTTATCGATAAAATAAACAAATAGCGACCTCCTTAATTAGCAATTGCTGACATTTTCGTTTGCGCGCGTACAGCATCAAATACAATATTTTGAATGCAACACAACCGGGAACTTTAATTTCAAGATGGGAATACGTATTGTGATTCTGACCTACATGGAACGCTCTCTCGAATAAATGTCTAAGTGAACAATACAAGTTAAGTCAGCCTTTGTCGTCATGTCGTGTAGATTATATTTCTTTAACTGCAAATGTGTTCCTCGTTGAGCGCGCCATTTTGTGTTCCAACAAGACACGTTAATGGTAGACAATAACATGATTGGTCGACTGTGGAAAAAAGGCGATCACATGACGCGGCGATCAAGTTTGAATTCTGTCCCGTTGTGACCTCGCGCACTATGAATTTTACTATCAATAAATAATCCGGATTTCAAAGAAGAATATCATCGAAGAACTATTAATTTTTTTGTTGAACATAACAAACGATTATCACTATATTAATTAAACACTGATAAAATTTCTTTTAGACTGGATTTGTAGAAACGAAAATATTTTTGCAACGGGAATTTGTGCCCATATGCGCCCTTTTGCTGTGACCTTGAACGAAAATGGTCTCGGTCGTAAGTCTGTAGCACAAAGAGTGTGTAAATGAATAGTCTCGTGATAATTTGATTTGATTCAGTATATTGAACTTCAATTTAAATTTAAATTTTCAATATTTTGTTAAATTTCTTTCAGATTAGACCTATTGAATCTCAATAGTGGACACTTGTGTTGAAATAGAGACATATGGTATCAGAAACCCTTTGGCCTTTGGAAACGCGTAGCCGTAGGCATACGTACCTGGATTAGTGGATTATAATAGATCCATATATTATTATAATAACGTACTGTCTGTATTATTTACCTTTCTGACTCGTTTTACAGCTTCACAGGAAGTGCTCCTTGTAAACATCAATAAGATCATGAATGATTTATTTTTCAATATTACCAAATGCGCTACTGCACTTTCGCACTTCCGCCAGTGGTCGTGCTCGATACTAGGTAGAATATCTTGGTGGGTGTTCTGCAGACATTTTATTTGCTGACAACTTAAGACTGGAATATCACGCCACTAAGGTGGTTTACTGGTTTCACTGAGCTTTACTCTGCCCGCCCGTTATTCCATTCGTGCATCGATCGATAGTATACTTTCCTCTGAATTACTCGTCTTGCATATAGATGTAATTAGTATTGCAGGCATAGTCCTACAGGCAAAACAAAATATTTTTTTTTATTACTTTACTTGGCAGGGGTACCTCTCTGACAAATGACACAACCCGCTCCCTATTTGTCATTATCTTACTAACTGCCAAGTACCTGGAAGGAGGCGTACGTTATGATAAGCCCGAAACAAAGCTTTAAGTTGAACTCACTTTATTCTACTTTAAGAGACAGGCGGATGATCTCATCTGACATAATGTATAAGCAGACTTCAAAAACTACCCGTGCCCTTGACATAATACTATCCTCCAGTGTTTCAGACAAAGTTACAGTTGGGACACTTTCCTCATACGACAAACCCACAACCTTGATATTACATACTTTTTACACTATTTGCCTACAATTCGAACTCATCCATCATTAAGTTGTAAGTGATATGTTTAAACATTTTTTTAAAATTAAATAAAAATTGTGACCTCAACAGGTTCCACAAGCTAAAATCGTGATTTTTTTTCATACCATCAGGATCCATAATCCAGGAATTTACAGACCGATATGCACAAATATTGAAAGGATCCAAGATCTTTGTGATATAAACAATAAACATGAATTTAAAGTTTTATCACATCGGATCAAAATTGTGATCTCTAGAAGGGTCCACAACCTTGATACAGCGTACCATACTTTTTACACATGAGGAGTGGCCATTTTGTCTGGCAGTTTCGGTCCCATTTCCACGAAATTCGAACTCATTCATCATTATGGTGTAAAGGCGGCCACAAGCAAAAAACATGATTTTTTGTACAATCAGGGGGCCATAATCAAGGAAGTTGCGGTCCGATATGCGCGAATATTGAAAGGAACTGAGATCTTTAGGTAATAAACATACATAAAAAGTGTGCCATCTAGAATGTCCTCAAGCTAAAAACGTGATTTTTCGTGCAATCAGGGGCCAATATTGAAAGGAACCAAGATCTTTTTGAGATATAAACCTATATTTCAAGTTTGCGTCAAAACTGGATAAGAATTGTGACCTGTAGAGTGACCACAAACAAATTCGATGGACAGGGGTGACGACAATATACCTACACATAAAAATGTGGGCGTATAAAAAAAATGATAGTTGCATAATGTTAGTGGAACTAAATGGAGTATGACAAAGCCATTACTTTATAACTTTAGCGCGGCCAGTTTCTATCAAATGTTTCAAAACACAAAACACTACCAAATCACATTCCGTTTTAGCAAACAAATGTTGAAATTCCATCAAGACATCACCCACGGTTGCGCTTGCTTTTAGCTAAATTTTCTCTACCTTTTCAAACAGAACCAAATTTTCTGGGATCTCTCCCAGAACCTAATGGATCCCCTCCTATCATTAAATAACTTGAATATTGTTGTTGACCAATTGCTAACACATGCAATTGGTTGTCTTCCTGAACACATTGTTGCTTTACACTTAATACTTTCTCCATGCGATTAAATTTTAGTCAATTTGTGAATGAATGAATGAATGAAATGGGGTTTAACATTCTACTCCAACCAGGCTAATGATGACATGAAGATGGACATATGCCAAGCAGTGTGCTTTACACAAATTTTGGCGGGAAAGCAATTGAATTCCGATGTGGGAATAAAAAAAAATATAAGATTTTAGATGTATAAATGTTTATAGTTCTCAAAATGACAAAAAAATACACATTTACAGATCTAAGGAAGAACAGCATGTAAAATAAACAATGTTCTTGTAACATAATGGTTGATAAAATGATGAATCAGAAAAAACATTCTATAAAGGCCAATGTCTCACCCTTTCAAAAATATGAAAATGGACAGAAAAGAAAATGCTCAGTCCTTACAACTTTACCCCCACAAATGCCAGATTAAAAGCCTCAAAATGGACTCCATATACATGTATTCTCTATAAAATTAACACTTACACGTACTGAAATATATGACTTCTTCACTAGGATATAACTAAAATATTATGCAATCTGTGAGCATTTTTTGTAGAAGCTGTTTTTTTTTTTATTCTATTCAATAACATTGAACATAACTGGATAACAAACGCTTACAAAAATATGGTTATATTCCACCTTAAATGCTTATAATTATAAAGTATCAATATAGATTTTTATATAAATTTGACCGGCACATTTTCGGGCAGAAATTGTTGCTGTATTTTACTGTAGAAATCATTACTATTTAAACTTGATTTTCTTACCACACCCAGATAGGTCATATCCCTGGATTTGAAGTATGTGTTGAAGAGGGGAGTATAAGTAACACAGTGGGGCATACTGTCACATAGAAACTAATATTTTTATTTCTGTAAAAATAGCATGGAGTTTTGGATGTACAGGACAAGGTCACAGGTTTCTAAAGAATGTTCCACACATGATTAATTACAAGTTCCAATCAGAAAATGGGCTGTCTCTTTCAAAAAGTTAAGAGCGAGAGAGAGAGAGAGAGAGATGGGGTTTAACATCCACTAGACACAAACTAGGTCATTTCGGGACTAACATATGGTTAAATTGTATTTCAATAATTTGCTTGCGCTTAGGGGTCTTTAGCAGTGGGAGAAAACCTGAGGACTCGGAGAAAACCCACATACAACCGGGGATTCGAAACCGTGCCAGTTGACTCAATGAAAGGCCTTATGATATAGCGCACGTGCCAACCATTCGGCCATCTCCCCCCCAAATAGTTTAAAGTACTCCTTTGATCTTAACTGTACAATAGTAAAGCTTACAAGGTGATATTATCACATAGTTCAACAAAGCTATTGCACGATTTTATATTGCAAGTAATTTTTAGCTTGCTTGTTAGTAAAAGACTAGTGCAGTCACGATACAATACATATTGTGATTCAAGTGCTACGACATGATTCATATCACTATTCATAACCAGGTCAATATTTACCAAGAAAACAACAAGATAAATGAATAAATGATATTTTTAGTCCTGCCAATTTCGATGAAATAAAACTGTTTTATATCACAATATTGATGTGGATCAAAATAAGGACCAAAACAATTTAAGAGTGACGTGGATAATTAAGAGTGACAGATTACTTACTGAAGTGACATAAAAAAATATACGTGAATCCTGAGAAAGTGAATCGCAATACATCGATTCAGGGTCTTGTGATTCAATATGTGAATCGTGAGAAGGTGAATCGCCATACATTGATTCAACAATATATCGTGCCAGCTTTATAAACCATGTTTCGTATAATATAGTATAAATATTACTACTCCCATTGTGCCTTGAAGCTCTATGTAAAGAGAGTGGTCTGATTCTTAGTGCTTAATAATTTCATGATATGGAAGCAGCTTGTACAATTTCCAGGAAATTTAGTTGTGACTTCAATCCTCCTCAATATCTTGTTCCAACATATTTTTACTTAGCTGAACTTCCCAGGAACATTCTTCTTTTTTACGCAGAATTAAAATTATTTTTTCTGTTTCAAACTGAAACAGATATTGGACACTTTTAAAATTTATTTTTAAAAGACACAATGTGGGTTTACTGACTCACCATTATCTTTTTAATACAGGGCAAAAGTGTTATGGATTCATAAAAAAAGATATGCCCATTTTGCAAGAGCTGGACAGAGAACAAACTTAAAACAAAAAACATGATTTTTTGTACAATCAGGGTTCATAAATCTGGAAGTTATGTTCTAAAATGCACGAATATCGACAAGACTGAGATCTTTGGGATATAAACATGTTTTAAGTTTCATCAAAATCGGATGAAAACATTTAACATCATGAATTTAGCTGTTCAAGTCATCAAGAGATGAAGAAGCTATTTTTCTGACAATCAGGGGCCATAATCCAGGAAGTTACGGTCCATTATAGGCAAGTATCGAAATGAACCCATATCTTTGGGATATACATGTAAACATACTTTTGAGTTTCATCAAAATTGAGTCTTTCTCAATTAGCCACCGTGGCTCCTTGTATTAATGACAGTTGTTTATTAATGTATTGAGTGGTGGAACATTGAATGTAAATTAAGTATTTTGTAATTATTCAACATCCCACATTGAATAAAATAATGGGTTTTCATTTTCTTTTAAATACACGTCGTCTACTGCATAAATCCTACTTTACTGCTCCGACTGGTCGATATTTCGGTTTTTCGATATAAAACCGTCACAGAAATAAAAACTATCAAAAATACTGTCTTCAGAGAATATTGAAAAACCAAAATATCGCCCAGCTCTACCGACTGGGCTTATGAGGGGAAATTGTGCCCAGAGAGCGACGCTGCTGCCTATTTTTATTTCGAATTCCAACTGTCAAGGGTTCTTTTACGTGCATGCCAAAGTGTACAAGGGACCTCGGTTTATCGTCCCATGTGTTACGTTGTCCCCTGCCAGGCCCTCTGTCCTGCAACACTGACAAGGCGGAACCATGCTGGATAATCCTGATGTACATGTACTTTCTCTGCCAACTCTGTGATCGAACATGGGACCATCATCATGTTAGTGAGCCAACATCTTAGTCACTTAGCCATTGCGACTCCCAAGTTAAAAGGAGGGCCATTACTTAGAGGTTTGTAACTTTTGCAGTAAAAGACCTGTGGTAGTATCATACCTGTATGTTGGTACAGATATAATTTAAATTACCTTAATATCACAATTATCTGGATCAATCAGACCTGGTAATCGTCGAATAACTTGTTTATATTTTGTCACCGTTTTATCTTTATTCTGTACATCACACGTAACTTGAAAACCTCTAGAAAAAAAATGTATATTTATATAACTGCGGTACATGAAGACTTATGCAGTAAATGTAATTGTTTCTGACTGACGATCTACAGTCTGATGTTACTGAGAGAGAAAGGGGGTTTAATGTCCACTCAACACAATCTCTGTCATTTTGGGATTAACATGCATTAATAATACATACCAGGTATCAAATACTAATACATACATATTGTACTGTATACAAATATAATTTGGCATGGTCAAAGTGCACTCGACAAACCTCGGCAGATTCCGGTACACTACATTTAACCTCGGCTGAGATCCAGTGAGTTAGACAGCTGTCCATGACACAGGTTAGTTCCCTGTATGAACATTTAAAATATCGACTTAGGTTTCTTATGACTTTTCTTCAAGATGTTTTATCAAGCGTTTGAGTCATTAAGCTATTGCCTTCAAGCACAAGACCCTTCTTACGAACAAATCGCTGCCCTTGTGAAACCATTTATATCCACATTGAAGTCAACTTCATGTACCTGGCTGATTTCCCTATCTATTGACTAAACAGCCAGGGTGGGTGGGTGATCGAACAGTCTAACATGTCGTGTGCATTTTAGATCAGAAGGTTTGCCATTGTGTCCAATAGTGTGGCTTGGACCCAACCTGGTACAACCTTGTGGGTTTCCTACCACTGTTAAAGACCCATCATGCACAAGCGAGTTATTGAAATGATGTTGTACCAAAGTGAAACAGAATGACCTAGTTTGTGTCAATTGGACCTTGAACCCAATCACTCTCTCTCCCTTTGTCAAGTGTTAAAAGAAACTGAAAATAAATTTGATCAATCTGAATTTATGTTACCTTTCGCTAAATGAATGTTGAACTACAGCATTTTCTGGTTCCTTTACATCCTTTTTAAATACATGTACTGACCGAACTTTCAGATCTTTTATATTAAGTGTTACTATTACTGTTAGCAGATCTTCTTCATGACTTTCAACTAAAAATAAATCATAAAATCTAGTGGTCACATCCAACATATCGGTAGTACGCTATAAGGCCAAAATATCTGAACTTTGTTTTCTCATTAACAGATTTTCCAGTTTTATGGCCAAGTAACCGAAAACACATTTTTTTTAAATTTGATTTATTTATTCAAATGCTAATTGAATTTTGAAATGTTCAATGCAATTCAAACCTTAAATTTTGTAATTGTTTTGTAGCATTTCCAGATTTCTAAAAATTGAGACTTCTCCTTCACATACAGTAATATATTTCCTATTTTTGTTTAGTTGATTTTACTAAACAAATATTATCAAGTACTTCCCATCGGAAACTATTCAAATTCTAAATTTGTTTTTATTTGTAAATCTATATATCTTAATATTCATCTATTAGAATGCAAAATATATTCTGTCCATAATATTCAAAGACTCCATCAAAATGCTTATAATTAGCAATTAGAGACAGACAGTAGTTAATCTGCCACTTCCATGTACATGTGACATAAGTTATTAAATTAAGTGTAACTAACATGTCATATAGGGTGTATTCGCATTTCATTATTTTTGTAAAAGTAAACAATTCGCAAAAGGACTTTTGGTGAAATCTGTCGGCTTTCCTTGATGAAGGCCTTTTGTAATAACAAGCCAATTAAAGCACAGGAGGCCAAAGAAAACCACCAAAATAGAAGAAATATACAGATATAAACAGAAAGATAAAAGACGCAAAATCTAATTATGAACGAGGGTTAGCCTATATAACATTTACCATTTTTAGACTGTGTTGGATATTTTGTTAAAATAAACAATTAATAACATCATATCATATAATATTTATATTTGTATCCCAGAAAAAAATAAATGCTCCCAAATTCCTATTAATTAGTTTTAAGCCTTCAGCTGTTATAATGACGAAACGAAATATTGGTAACCAGGGGGAAAAAATTTCAATCTTTGAAAAAATTAGAATCTTCAGGCATTTTTGCTTTGTCTGCCCCAGATAAATTCAAAGATTCCAACTCTTTTCCCTGGTAACCTAAAGTTTGTTCCATCTTAACAGGAGGGATGTATTTTAAACAGCATGTTGTGTCACACATACGGAGTCTAGCAAGGAAAGCAAGGTCTTATTTAATTACTAAAATGTTCTATTATATTGTACAGGCATACTGACAAGTGAATGAGGAGTGAAAAAGTTTTCGAGAAGGGGTCAATTCAATAGGCCCGTTCCTGAAAGTATGGGACGGCGGGGGTAACAGGACTTATAAGTTCAGAGATGAAGTAAACCTAACCTTCTTGTTAAGGAAGTCTTGTTCTCCACTTCAGAAATTACACTTTATTTCAACAACTAAGTTCAATTAATAAATGACAAAATTATTAATCGTCGTTTCTTATAATCTTGTATTTGTCACTTAGAAAAGATAAAATAATAATAAAAAAAGTTTTCCCAGACGTTTATGATAATTTATTAAATGGATGACTGCACATAGCGCCAAAAAGGAACTGATTAGATTTAGAGAGTAGAATTTAGTAGAATCTTTTAATCTTATTAGCGTGTGCCAACTGAAAAAGGGACGTAACTCTTTTTTCTTAATTGGCTGTCACAAATATGGCGCTATTTTTTCGCGAAAAGCTAGCCTTGCATTACGGCCTCGTGTTGGTTACCTGCAATCGATACCGGTTCCATTCAACCGAAAACAGTTAGTTAAGAGGTCAAGGTTGCTCCACATGCAAAATTTATCACTCGTAGCAAGGTAAGAATATTTTTTTTCTCCGATTGAAAAGTTTGAAATTTTGTAACTTTTTTCGTGGAAGATGCGGAGCGAAAAAAAACCTGCTCAAATATGGATTAAATATCCCTTTATAACATCCATCTTCATTTATTTCCATAAGTGGACGTGAACATTGGTAAAATTCAATTTTTCTCCATGTGACCGAAATTCTGTCGGCCATATTGTAATGGCGGGGGCGTGTCAAATGTACCGTTAGACACCCGTTAGTTACACCCGTGCTAATAATGAGTGATCATAGGAAGAATTTTAACTTTCTAAGACTGTGCAGTTGATTTTTTTACGAAAACAAACATAGCTCAGAATTGTATGGTATAATAAAGCCCAATGAAAAAAAGAAATAAGGAGTACTTTTCTATATTTTTATTTTTAGGGTTTTTTTTTTAATTATTGAGAAATGGATAGGTCTACTAGTAGTTCTGAAGAGACATTACCCCCAACCGAAGAACTAGTAGAAGACACATTGGAATGTGGACAGAAGCTAAGCGATGAGAGTACTAGCAAAGAGCCAGAGGTGTGCACGGTAATTCAAAAATGTAATTTGTAAATTAAAAAGTATGTTGGGCTTTTTTGGGGATCAGCAAATATTATCAAATTTAAGAAGCTACCTTTGTATATTTAAATAAGTTTGAAATAGCTTTAATATTGTTTTATTTTTTGTATATTTCAGACTTCCTCCGAAATTGATTCCCCAAGTTTACCCAAATATAGATGTCAAGATCTTGAAGTTTTTACAGTGTTACTCTTTTCATTACCGGTAGTACTGTTAACTTGACTTTATGATTGACAACTTAAATACCTGTAGTTAACTTCTTTATACCTTGTTTTTCATCTTGTTTGTCTCAATATTTTTATTATTTAACATACGGTATATTAGATTATTAATATTAACTCATGTATTATTAACTCATGTATCATGTATTCCAGCCTGTTTTCCTTCATTTTATCAGTATTGTTTAATCATATTTACAAGACTTTTTCAGTATATGCAGAATATTTTGTAGATATTTAGCTGAATTGTTGTGTTTTTTTATATTTTTATACTGAAAACTTCAATTCTGGAGATTTGTTAGTTATGATTCAGTGCATTTATTTTGATAATTTTATTTTTTGATATTTCATACTCATAGCTGTCCACGAGAACATGGATATTTCATAGCTGTCCACGAGAACATGGATATTTCATAGCTGTCCATGAGAACATGTTTCCAGTTTCCATTTAATCATCAAAAAACAATTTCCACTATTTTTAATGATTTTTTTTTATAGTTATTATTTTTATGTTTTTTCGGAACAAAATATGTCCGATTTGCTTTAAATTTTGTCAAAATAAAAGGTAAAAACAATATTTTTGTGGTTGATTTTAGTAAATGTGTGTCTCTAGAACATCTGTGTACAATTTGAGTCTGTTCCAAAGTCATTCAGTTAGTCAAAATATTATTTTTTCAATTTTGCCTGTTTTTGACGGATTTTGGGAAAACGCTGCTTACATATGGGTATATAAAATTAGCTACAAAAAACAAAGTTATGAACCGATTGTCATAATTGAAAAAGATTAATGATTCTCAGGTGTATTTCTAACTGTGTGCAAAATTTCAGGTCTGTAGCTCAAAAATTGAATTTTGGTTGGCACATGCTAATCTTATTACTTAGATCAACTTTGTGAAATATTTCGACTACAAATAAGGGTTTTGAAATATCATGTCAATGTAGCCCAATAGTTACCCGCTTGTGGTCTTCTATAATCGCCTTCAGCCATTTTAAGAGATAAGACACTCAATTTCCCGCTCTCTTCTTTCTCTTTTTATTTTCTGTCCCAACTTAATTACAATGATACAATGAGCCAACAACATGCCCGGAAATAGAACGTGGTTCGAACTTCTCATATTATCGCGTGCCGATCATAGCAGTGTCCTTTTTGTGCGCATGCTCACATTTATTTCAATTTAAAATATAGGAAGCCTAATATTTTGATTGAATTACTTGACAATTGCAAGCGAATTCTATTTTTACTCGTATAACCATGTACCTTACATGTATGTATTACACCTACGACTAGCCTGGGGTTAATGTCCATTTGCACCACATGTCATATCAGGGGCCAGAAGCAAACTTAATGTCTGACATTCTTTAAAATCAGGGGACCTTATAAGAGTAAAATATTCATCCAATTGCCTAATATTTTGATTGAATTACTTGACAATTGCAAGCGAAATCTAATTTTTACTTGTATAACAATGTACCTAATTATGTATTACACCTACGACTAGCCTGGGGTTAACGTCCATTTGCACCACATGTGATACCACGGGCCAGAAGCAAACTTAATGTCTGACATTCTTTAAAATCCAGGGACCTAATAAGAGTAAAATATTCATCCAATTGCCTAATATTTTGATTGAATTACTTGACTATTGCAAGCGAATCTATTTTTACTTGTATAACAATGTACCTTATGTATTACACCTACGACTAGCCTGGGGTGAGTGTTCTACATCTAAGGTATCCGAGTTGATTATGAGCTTGTCATGTGAACAGAATATAATGTCTAAATAATACTTTATATTACATTTAAAGCAGATTTGGCTCTTGCATGATATTATTTATTTTTAAATTGTGAGTTACTCCGGTCAACACAATCCAAGTTCTCACCACATATACAACTTTTTCTAATGAAACAAAAATGGACGCCAGCATATTAATCTGGGGAAAAAAAATACAAAATTATTAGTTGATGAATGAAGCTGTGACCAATCCAATGCACAGGTATATATGAATTTTTTTCATGATTAATAGTGTCATGGCTAATTAGGAAAATACTTATCATTCGCCCGTCGGTCTAGCTGGACAAGGTCATACATTAAAACAGACAACTCCTCCAAAGACAACTCATCCCAATATAAGACAACTCATCTCAAGTTAGAAATAAAATGAAATGAAATGGGGTTTAACGTCCTACTGTTTTGCTCCGAACTGGGCATCTCAAATTAGAAGACTTGGGATGAGTTGTCATATACTATTCAAAAAAAGTAGGGGATATTTGATTTTTAAGTGTTATTAAAGTCACCTAATGAAACTGACGAAGAAACAAATGACAAAATGAAATGAAGTTCACATTCATCGATTTATTCCAAATGATCGTTAGACTAAGTAAGGCACAGACTGACCATTATAAGGGTAAAATGATACCCGGGGTCAAACAGCAAAGTTACCACAGCATCACAACCAAGTCAGTAACGGGTAAATCCTCCTCTGTTTGCCAAACAAGCATTGATCCGACGTGGCATACTCCTAATGAGACGTCTAAGGTCATTTTGGTCCAGATTGTCCCATTCCTGTTGCAACGCAGCAGCAAGTTCTTGGACATTGGCAGGACGATGTTGACGTTGACGTAACCTCTGTCCAAGCATGTCCCAGACATGCTCGATGGGGGAGAGGTCGGGACTCAGTGCTGGCCAAGGTAATGTGGTGATGTTCTGTTGTTGGAGGTAACCTATAACGATCCTGGCCCTGTGACATCTTGCGTTGTCATCCTGGAAGATGAAACGGCGGCCATGACGTCGTGCGAACGGCACAACATGGACTGCCAAGATGTTGTCCCGGTAGTACTGGCCTGTAACACGCCCTGCAACAACATGTAAAGCCGTTCTTCCAGCAACAGTGATGCCTCCCCACACCATAACAGAACCACCCCCAAATCGATCATGTCTGATGACGTTAACGTCTTGGAAGCGCTCGTTTCGACGACGCCACACCCTCCTACGTCTGAAAACATCACATTGCTCCAGCGTCGATTATCCCAGTGTTGACGATCCCTACACCAACGACGTCTTGCCTGAATGTGATGATCTCTCAAACAAGGGATCACGCGAGGACGTCGGGCGCGAAGGTGACCCCTATGCAGTCGATTCCGAATCGTCTGGCCACTCACTCTCACACCAGTGTCTGTTTGAAGACGAGCGCTGATCTGATTTGCTGTGATGACACGATTTCTCAAGGCCAAAGTACGGATAAATCGATCCTGGGCTTGAGTTGTCGCCCTTGGTCGACCTGAGCATGGTCTGTCCTGTACAGATTGTGTATCACGGTATCTGGACCATAGCCTGCTTATGACAGACTGAGAAACATTCATAGTCCGCGCCACAACCGCCTGTGTTGTGCCGATCTGTAGCATGCCAAGGGCACGTAACCTTTCATTTTGGGTAAGCCGACGCATATCAAAATTTGTTTTCTGGTCACTAAAACAATTAAACTGATGTTTCCACCCTGGAATTCAATGCCACAATGACTGTAACATTCAAAGTCAGAGTCGTGCAAATCTTGGGTTGGACCCCCATGATGATCCCAAGCATCACCTGCATTCCATGCGGTAGCTATTGGTGCGTTTGGGCGTCGCATGTAACTGGAAATGTTTCTTCTGTTAGGTTCTATAGTGACTTTTTTCGTAGTCATTTGCATATCTTAGTATTATGCCCCCAAAATCAAATATCCCCTACTTTTTTTGAATAGTATATATTGGGATGAGTTGTCTTGGATGAGTTGTCCATAATCATGGACTCTACGTATTGACGTCGTATAAATAAAATATTCGGAAAATAAGCTAAGGCGTATGCAAAAGAAGGAGTTGGACACTGTTCATGATTAAATTGCATTGGCATGTTGTTATTTGTATTAATGTATAAATAAAATATTAAAAATTCATGTAATACCAGTTTTTAAATTTGTGGAATGAAACGACCCGATATAAGTGGGATGAAAGGACCCGTGTAAATTTGGGATGAAAAAGCCCGGATGAAACAGCCCGAGATGAACCGGTAGTGGGATGAAACAACCTACTCCCAGTTGTCAGGTATTCATTAAAACGGCGTTGACTGATCGAGCAAATCAAAACAACGACTTTAACAGAAGTCAGAACACAGTATGTATGAGTATTTATGGGAAACAATCACTGGTTTATTCTAAAAGCATGACGTTTCGACAAGTATCCTCTTCTTGTTATCAATCTGTTAATGTGTTTCCCAATTGCTAAATGCCACTTAAAGGGACAATAACACTCTTGCTGGCTTAAAAGCTCCAGAAAATAAATAATATCTTTATCTAAATACTAGATGTTTAAGTGTCCTACCTGTTGTGTAAATTATCCATTACATCCTATTTTACTTGTCCAGAGGGTTTGAAAATATTTTTAAATCGAAGTTTCATTTGAAAAGGTTTACGTTAGACGTTTCAAACCATTATGTTGAATTTTTCAAAATTTTTAAATAAGGTGTGTTAAGATGAAATTTGTATCATCAATTAATTGAAATATTCTAAAATAGTACAAGTTGTTGACCAGAATAAAGATTGGGACATATTATTCAGTTACAACAAGAGTGGTATTGGGCCTTTAAAGATTAAATCAAGGAATGATGATCATTATTTTATTTATTCAATTTCCATCCACATCGGCCTAGTACAATATAGCTCTACTAAAAATGGCCCACTAATGTCTTCTGTCTGGCCTCTATCCAGAGTAGTGGATGGCGGTCTATAGAGTTATCCATCACAACTTTACTAACCCAAAGTAACCTGTATTTTACTGCTACGTGTATAATATTAATTTCCAATTAAATTGTCCCCAAACTGTATTACACTAGCTAAACATGTAATAAACTAATTTTCATTGAAATAAAGGTGAAACCTTACAGCACAATTACATGATTTGATCAAAGCGAACGGATAGGCCAGGGATTGATGTTTAAAAATTGCAGATGCTATAATAATCGCACTCCTGGTCAAGTTTAAGAGGACTGTTAACGCTCTCCTATAAATTGAAAAAAAAACAAACAGATTAAGAGATTGTAATACTTTAGCATTTCTATTTGAAGAAATTTAGAAATTTGTAAAATATCTAACGCATTGTCAGTATTTGTTGCCATTGCCGTAAAATCTCCAGAGAATAAGTGCAATGATCAATGAAATTGTCTTTTCAACAATTACGTAATTCATTGCTCATGTTACAACATACCGGTACATGTACATGTAATATTCTATTTGATTAAGGGAATCGTTCATTCGTTCCTGGAGTTTTACGTCCACTTCCACCAAGGGTGATATCGTAAATGTTCTTGCATTTATACATTAATCAAGGACATTAATCAAGGACAATAATCAAGTGTCATCTTGCATTATACAAATCTACTAAAAACAAAGTATCAATTGTATGATTATCAGATTTGTATATTTTTATACACCCGCATTAAAATTGTTGTCACCCCCGTCCGTCCGCCTGTCCGGCGATCGGTCCGACGTCCACAATTGCTTGTGGACACACCAGAGGCTAAAGTTAATATCCGATTGACTTTAAATTTATACACAGTGTTTAAGATCATGAGATGCTTTAGAGACCATAAAGTTATCATCTGAATGATTTTATATTTATACACCGTGTGTACGCCTATACGCCTATATATTATCATTTCAATTGACTTTGGATTGATACACAGCGTTTAAGGTCTTGAGATGAACAAGTATATTGATTTTCAATGATTTTTGGTAACTTGAACAGCTAAATTCATGATATTAAATGTTTTGTATACTAACAGTTAGCATGGGCCAAACAAATTCTAATGATTTTCTGATAATTACTTAATGAGTCTTTACCTGTAATCATATTTTAGTGTATTATAAATGTTTCATTACCGACAAAAGTAAAAATATGCGACAACTCTTGTTGACTTCCTGGTCGATTTAGCTGCTGTGGGCATATGTTTCATTGCCTGGCAACCTATCTTTTCTAATGTTAAATAATCTATTGTCATCTTTTATTATACAATGGGGAGCCATTATGGCTCAGTGAGTAATTTGTGCCTTACTAATTAAGAAGTCCCTGGTATGATTCCACTGTGTGGTTTCCCCTTGTCAGTGGGACACAGGACAGAGAATCTGGCAAGGACAAGTTTAATCAATTGACACCGTACACATTGGCATGCACGTAAAAGAACCCTAAGTATATTCCTGTTTTCATTAGCCCAGTTTCATTCTTAAACTTTAATTGTAGGAATGTTATTTTTAATATCTTTTTTACGTTTCAGAAAACTGAATCTTCCAGTCATATCAGATCTTCAAACAGTAACAGTGACGGAGTGATTACAAAATCTTTTCACCAATTTCTTCTAACAAATTATCTTAACACAGGAAAAAGTGAGAGGTGAACAAATTCTATGTGATTTTCGTGTTACGTCAAATCATGGCAGAGCAAACTGAAAGCAGTTGCGATCTTGTTATACAGAATAACCCCGACATCACATATAACTTAAAATGTGGTATATGTAGTAAATCATTTGATCACAGTATTTCTTTCCAAACACACATGAAAACTCATAAGAAAATGTTAAAAAATGAGGTTTGTGGTAAATCATTTACTCACGATGGAGATCCAAAGAAAAATGACAAAAGTCCCACTACAGAATATATATGTGATTTTTGTGGGAAAAGATACTTTAAAAGTAAATGGTTTCAGAACCACAAACTAAAACATATTGTCCTTAAATTTTTTAAATGTGAGATTTGTGATCGTTCATTTCATCGGAATGATATTCTAATAGGCCATATGCAAACTCATACTAGGGAAAGACCATTTGAATGTGATGTGTGTCATAAATCATATGGTCGACAGAGTACTCTGAATGAACACAAAAGAATACATACTGGAGAAAGACCATTTCCATGTGATCTCTGTCATAAATCTTATAATAGAAGCAGTAGTCTATACACACACAAATTGGCACATGCTATGAAAGGGAAACTGGCATGTGATTTATGTGATAAAAGATATAGCAGCTACAAGAATTTGTACCGACACCAGAAAACACACAGCCTAGGAAAAGACTCTGACTGCGATGTATCAAAAATTTTGGAAGAAAAGGGTGACTTAGAAGAACATGGCCAAGTGAAAGAAGAAGAGTCGGCAGCAGTAGTTTGTGAGGTATTAGAGGGACAAATATTCAAGCAAAACTCTTCCTTAGAAGACTACCAAGAAATCCATGTTATAGTCGAGGAATCGTCGCAAGATGTAGCAGAACACACTAAATTTTGTGAAATTTTGGACAATCAAATTTCTGAAAAGGACAGCAATACAGAAGACCACAATCAAGTTCATACTGAAGAAGATGAATCAACAAAAGATGTAGCAGAACAAAGTAAAGTTTGTGAAATATTGGGCAGTGAAATTTCAGAACAATACAGTGACATTGAAGACAACAATGAAATGCATATTGAAGAAGATGAATTAACAGAGGATACAGCTAAAGCAAAACAAGTTTTTGAGATACTGGACGGGCAAATAGTGGAACAAAAGAGTAATTACTTGTCAGAAGACAGCGAAGACGAAGAGGATGTAGCAGAACAAAGTAAAGTTTATGAGAAGGGTACTGATCTTGAGGTACATGGTAAAACAGGCAATTTTAAATGTGATGTTTGTAACAAATCATTTACTCACAGTGGCATTCTACAGAAACACAGCAGAATTCACACCACAGAATATATGTGTGATATTTGTGGGAAAAGATATTCTCAAAATAAATGGCTGCAGAGCCACAAAATGCGCCATGTGGTCCAGAAAGTATATAAATGTGGGATCTGTGGTAGTTCATTCCGTCGCAGTGATGTACTATATGAGCATATGAGATCACATACTAAAGAAAGGCCATTTCAATGTGATGTTTGTGATCAATCATTTGGTAGACGCTGTACTCTAAACCTCCACAAGAGAACACACACTGGGGATAAACCACATCACTGTGATATTTGTGGTAAATCATATACTACAATATCTGTTCTAAGAAAACATAAAAGAAACCACGCCAAAGGAATAACTGTTTGAATCAATTGTTTTTTGTGTTGACACGAAAACTAAGAACTCTTTGAATGTGAAAGAATTGCTCTGAATAGGAAATCTACAGAGTTATTTCCATTTGTTATCAATCTTGTACAATGTAGCACTTTAGGGACTTCAATTATTATGACTCATAATTTTTTTAGATTGAATTAGTTTTTTTCATTTCATGCAATATGAAAATACCGCTCTACCCTCACCTCTGTTCTAAGGCTATTTTGGAATCATTATCATCTATTTTTTACAAGGATTCTCCATTGCTTGCCAAAAGGAATCATTTTTCGTGGCATCTGACACAATTCTATAGTAAGTCAACTCTATTTCCAACTAGAATTTTGCGTTGCGATTCAAAAACATAAACATAATACTTCGGTGCACCAGTGCAACTTTCATAATTGCTGACCAATTAAAAGTATTTTGCTTATGTGTTATTATAAATTTGTGTCAGATTAGGCAAGAAAAGACTCCTGTTGCTGAACAAAGAAGAATCATGGTGAAAACTAGAAGGTAAGGGTATTTTCATATTGCAGCTTAATAGGGATGAACAGGAACAGTGAGAGGACATCGTGGGATCTGAGACCATTCCAAAAGGTACTATATTAAACCCCTTGTCATTCATTCAGTCCAATGCAGTCAAGTTACCAATTGTTATAATCGAAATAATGTCACAAATTAAAATTATATATGCCATGGCCTCACTAAAAAGGGCACTGAATTAGGGCTTTGTCCAAATGTGCATGCCATACTAAATTATAACGGTAAATCTTGAATGGCTTTCTTGTTGACCCAATTCCAACCGTAGACCTACTCAACAACTATACAGGTGACCATGCCACGTGCCATCGGTAATTTTGAAACGTGGAGTGCGCCGGAAGTTTATGTATTATTATTATTCACTATTTATTGGAATATTTGATGTTCTGACAGGGGTTTTATATCATGATTATTTACATTGAACTAAAATCTTGTATCTTTTTAATATCATTTTAGATTCAGTAGAGAGCCATTTTGTCATTGAGTTTTGATATGAGGTTTTATTGTGCTGAATAAATTTTTACCAAAAATATTTTGATAAAAGGAATACCGTTTTTATACAGAAAGGCATTTGATATGGCAGTTTTATAAAATGAGCATCTACTCGATCTGCTAAGGCAAATGCAAGCTAGTATAATTGCTTCGTTTTTACCACGTGTTTCCCAGATCGACTTTTTAATTTTGCCACCATCACTTGACAATATACATGTACAACTCTCTTAATCGTAACTGAGTCCCGTCTATCGTATTAAATAGCTCTCACATTTAATATTACGTTAGGCCTTTTTAAAAACAAGCACCAGGAACATCTTAGTTGACTACAATTATACATGTGCTTAATTTTCAAAAGGATTCACGGTAGTCGAGAGGTAAAACACAAGGCTCTGGACTAGAATATTACTTAGTCGTTCCGATGTGACGGAATCCGGAATTCCCCCGTTAACAAATTGACATATTTTTTTACCTAACCAAAAAAATCCCTGGCATTTGGAAGTCGATAACCTATGCCTGTCTTTTAGAGATCATTTTGATTTGTTTAGCACAATCAAGTCTTATTGGTGTTGTTGGGGGGGGGGGGGGTGGTTAAGGTCTGTCATTGAGACAACTGGCGTGTTTTGATTCCCCAGTTGTACGTGATCCTACCTCGTGGGTTTTCCCCGGGCCCTCTGATTTCCTCCCACAGTTAAAGTCCCCTACACACAAGCGAATTATTGAAATATGTTGCTCTCTCTCTCTCTCTCTCTCTCTCTCTCTCACACACACAAGTCTACTACCACGTTTATAAGTCTCAATTTAAAAAAATAAATGTTAGTCCACATGTGTTTATTATTTTATACTGTTAACACTGTTTAATTGTTTAATACACACTCTGTAATTTTTTTATCTTGCCGTGGTGTAACGAATGAGTTAATATACACAGGTATATAAATGGCCGTATGTTATTGAATTGATTCGCAGAGGGGTATAGGATTATGGATTGATTATGTTTTATATCTAATTTAGATGTGATTTATTTGTATATTATATATTTATTATATTACCGCATGTATATATTAATTGGTAAATCAGATTATTATTCGTAGTATTTAGTTCATGTATATTAGCAGCTAAATTAGTATTTAGCTCGTGTTTGTATGTATATTAGCAGCTGTCTTAGTATTTAGTTTATGTTTGTATGTATATTAGCAGCTAGATGTATATTTAGTTTACGTTTGTATGTATATTAGCAGCTATATTAGTATTTACGTTTGTATATATAACTAATTAGAAGCTTGCGTAAATTGTTATCTGTAGCCTGGGATCAAGCGTGGCGGCCAAATGTGTGTGTTCATATAATAATACAGCATTGAAATCTGTCTTGATTCTATAGGACTTATGAACAATATTATTGAACTAATATAAAGACTACTGTACTTAAAGATACATTCCCGCGTACAAACTTTGTGATTTGATGATATATTTGGATTAAAAACATATTCAAAGTAACAAATCTATCAAACAAAAATTTGCTTCAATTCCCTCTCAAAACTTTGTATTTGCCAGGGATACCTATAGCTATAAGTAACCTGTTGTTAGACGTAATGTCTGACAACGTAGCTTCATTGTGGGAGGATCCATTTTTCAGAATGTATTTATCATTACTTACTGTACATTTACCATACATATTGAGGCCTAAGTAAATTCTTAATTCTTTCTGTCAACTTCTTTTTCTGCCGTTTAATTTGTACGTTGACACCCCTAAATGTTCCCAAAACCGTCTAACCGTTTGATCAACAAATAACAACCGCTCCCTCACTTAAGCTGGCACACAATAAGCTGGCAGATAACAGTCGGGTTGTCAGTTTGTGATTTTCTGACAATTTTGCCCAGTGCTTGTCCCATGGGAGTTTTTCGGGTAATCCAGTATTTTTCTAGTAAGATTGGGTGTCTAAACTTTCCATATATACCAAATTTGACATTCTTTTATTGGAAATAACCACCCGATAAATACTTTTCTGGGAAAGTATCTTTAAAAGTCGTGTCTTTCAATTTGTTGAATATTTCAATAAGTACAATCATTGACTAAAGCCCAGTCATAACATTTGGTTGCCTTCGTAATGATTTATTGAAATGAAACAACAATAGACCAAACACAATATTTGAAGCATTCTGGATTTTTCAAGCCCGGTTCACATTTGTCGCGGGGGGGGGGGGGGGGTAACCAAGGTCCTCTGTGTACACATTTGTCAGGATGGAGATGAATAACCAAGGTCCACCGTGTACCGTACACATTGGTCAGGATGTGGATGAATAACCAAGGTCCACCGTGTACACATTTGTCAGGATGGGGATGAATAACCAAGGTCCACGTATGTAGCACTATTGCCCTTGAGACAATTTTGGCTCTTTATAAAATTGTCTCTTCAATTTGGTCTATAAAGTCAAATCATAAGTACTAAATGAACGTAGTTATAGTTGTTCGTAAAAAACAGTGATGTTTTAGTTAAATTATAATCATTGTCAAAATAGTCCACAAATTCTAGCTGTTTATTGACCTATGGTCGGTTGACCAAAAATAGGTAATGTTGCCTGTCTTGGTTGTGGGAAATATAGAGTTTTATTCCTTATATGGCGTGGAAATTCACGTCAAGGTTATTAAAGACCTGGGAAAGTAGGGGGTATAAATTAGGGTGTAGGGGAGAGCTAGATTAGAGCTCACCCAGAAATTCTTACCAGTCATTATATATTTGAGAACGAGGAACCTGCAAAGTTATTTCCAGTTTACTAATGAAGCTGTAAAATCATTGTTGCTGTAGTATTATTTACGATCACAAGGAACAACAAATAAAGAAGTCCGGCAGTACTACACCGTGTACACATTTCGTGTTCACGTAAAATAGCCGATGATAGTTGGAATTCGATGTAAAGTAGGTGGCTTCGCCGCTGTCCTGGTACGATTCTTATACTAGCACAAGTGCCCATAAAAATAAAATGAACGAATTTTATTCTAATAATGACAAGACGTAATACATTATTTAGTATAGAAAGTAGCGGGGCAGATGTCCCACGGCTGACAAAATTTGTAAAGAAACAAAGAATTAGTGGGACAAAACCGATGATGTAAAATGAAAATTGCGCGTTTTTGGTACCATTTCAGAGAAGGAAAGTCGCATATTTAGGTAAAATCATACTTGTAGTAGAACGAACAAAGCACAAGGTGTTCACATCCCAAAACTCATCTACGGTATGTCGGAAACAATACTTTGTCGCGCTCGGGGGTAAACGACCCCCTATGCTTCAGATTCCTTTTAAAAAATGCCCTGGTGTAATCATACGACAAACTGTTGGGTCACATTCTAATTGATGTTCAAGTTCGTTTGTAAGCTAGTTTATATTCATGGGCAAATAACTCGTCTGAAACTGATCACCAGTTGATAGTATATGACACGGTATAAAACACCGGTTATAACCCTTGTCACTTACTCCGTTCAGCCAAAAAATGTTTATTTGACTCTCCATGATCATTGTACATTCTAACAAGACCGGTTCCACGTTATAGGACACTTTAAAGGGGAGGGGCACTACCGTGAAGTATTTGGTTCAGTCCCACATGCTGGAATCGCTTGATTTGTTTCTGAGCCATGACATACCATACATTACACTTGGTTGGGGGGATTATGATTTAAGTCCCAAAGTTCTTAACAGGAACATAGATAACAACAATCAAGAACTAAAAGGCCTACGGGACTGCATGGTATTCCTTATAAAGGGTACCTGACAAGTTCCATTCGATTATGTCCGCTAATTTGGGGGAGTAGCATTTCAGACTAAACTGTGACAGTCCCAACAACAATAGGATCAAGAATTATACACAGGCGTGGTCCCTAAATAAAAGGCGTACTTTAAGCCTGGTGGTTTGTGTCAATAGGGTTCGTGGTAACGCTAAGTATATTGGCCTTGGATATGCTAACAGCTAAAAACCTTCCCGTCGCCCGGTTGCAATTTTCGATTTTTTGGGGGGATTTTTTTATTTTCCTAAATTCATTTTGCGAAATAAATAAACAATATTATGGAATCTAATATGGAAGACATCAGCGGAAATCAGGGTACGGATTAAGCTTGAATCGGGCGCTTGGTTAAAAATGTCACCTGAATGTCAGTGAAAAACGGATATATTCTGGTCATTGTCCGTCTGTACAAATACAATTTTTATGTCAGTATTGTTGATAGAAAGATTTATTTGGCACAACATAATAAATCAAACCATACATTAATTTTTAGAAATAATTTTGGGCCCCTTCGACATTGGGGCCCCCAGGCTACACACGGTCAGCACCATCGCTTAATCCGCGCCTGGTGGAAATGGATTAGATGTTGGTTCCCAAAATATAATTAAAAAATCTCTTAAAATATTTGTCAGGGTCGTTTTCTCAACAAATGTGTGCCTAAATAACTCTCAACACTTTTTGGCCCAGGGCAAATTGTTCTAATCATACATTTACTCATCGGTTTTCAGGAACCCACTAGACTTGGTCCAAGGGCCCTGAATGGCAAAAAAAAATTTGACATATTTTTTTTCAAAATAACTAAAATTCATCTTCTTATCCACTGAAAACTATAAGGGTCTCAATCCTGAGAAACAAAATGACCTGAGTAAGGCGCACGAATAGTGAATCAAGCTAGTTTCGCTTTCTCGTCATGTAACGTATTCGTTACCGCGATGGAGGCCAAACGAAACCAGTTGGTCCGAGGGCCAAGAGCTACCTAGCTCACTACTGACAATTTTAATAGTATATTGAATTCCATCAATTTTCGTTAATAAGTTCTAGGGTCATGGCCCTTGTTTCACTTTGTTAAAACTTGTGAAAAGTCTAATGACAAATGTTAACATCCGATCAGTATTAAATGTATAATAATATGCATTATTTAGATTAGGGTAAAACGAAGAAGCCAGTTAAAGTTCAGCAATTTCTGTGAAAAACTTCTATGACCCTTGTTTCACTTTGTTCAACGTAGTGAATGCTATAACGACAAAAGTTATCATTTAATCTGTTTAATCTCCCCGGACCTCTAAGCTGCTGTGGGCGTATGTTTCGTTGTCTGTATTTTATGGTGGCTGATAGTGGCCATGTTAAATCTCGCCCTTTTCATAGCGCGACAACACGACATCACGACAGTATTGACGCAATCATACGACACTTAACTCTGTCGTATCATCGTGTTATTTTTATCGTAACGTCGAGATGTCGACTTATTGTCCTAGTCTCTTTCTACAAGTCACAAAAATACAGCTGTACTCATTACATCAGATACATATACATAGATACATATAAATAAGACTCGTCAAAAGAGATAATAGGAAAACGTTGATTCGTTTTCTAAAAAAAAATGAAACATTTTGCGCCCAAAATTGAATTATATTTGGTATTACATTCAAAAAATCTAGAATCATAATAGCAGGACAAAAGTGAGTCAGCTATGTTAATTCCTTGAATAAGAAGTGGTGTCGGTAGGTATCGAACAAGTATGCATTGCCTCGTGTACGACACCCACCAATACTTATAGATTACTGAAGCGATAGTTTAGAAGCGATTTCAGAAGATTTCCAATTTATTTTATTAGAGTGGGAAGGGGATTATATAAAACCTCAAATCAGACCACATAAAATCACCGCATTGGTGTAGCACGCCATCCCAATAAGTGCAGGGGAGGTTTTTTATGAGGTGAAGAAAGCGATTTGCAGCTGTTATTGACCTTATCGCATATTTATCCGTTTGGCATCACTAATGGGATCGGGGCCTAGATGATTAAAAATAGGCCCAGTATTGCCTTCAGCTATGAACACACTCCGAAAGTCCCCTACGCACCCCCCCCCCCTCTTATTTTGTTTAACAAATAATTTCGGAATCAATAAAATGGTAGGTCCCTATCAATGATGTTTGACACGACTGGAAATTAATGTGTCTAAAATTGATTAAACAACATAGGGTAGTAAATATTACATTTTGAATCCGTATCAATGATACATTTAGGGTAGTAAATATTACATTTTGAATCCGTATCAATGATACATTTACTCAAAATGTTCCTTCCAATGGATCACCATTTAACTTGAAAACAAGGGAAGCAGCCGATCGAAGAAAAAAAGATTTTAAAAAACAAGTTTCAATATGATAGTAGTGGTTCGGTCATGCATTTACATCTGTGGGTGTCATCCTTTCTTTGAAAGTAATGATTGTGCCAGATTTGAACAAAGTCCATCTAGATTCGCGGCCTGTAGGTAAAGTGTTGACAGATAAAACGTAAAAAAAACCAGACCTATAAAAATATATTTTCTAAAACTATTTTAATTTTGAAATTATATTATTTTCACATGTGCTAAGTGTTTTAGTGAATAGTTATAGAAAGGGTCTTGTAGATTAAGACTATAGCGCATGTGCACTGTGCAGTTTTAAACTTCCGAGACGACAAGTCGACAAGTCGATGATACGACGGCACGACAAAATCACACGATCTTACGATAAAATCGGGCGATCTTACGACAGAACAAATTGTCGTAAGATCGTCAGATTTTGTCGTATCATCGACCTTATTTTGTCGTGCTGTCGTATCATCGACTTATCGCCACGACAAGTCGACAAGTCGATGATACGACAAAACCAAACTGTCGTATCATCGACTTGTCGACTTGTCGACTTGTCGTCTCGGAAGTTTAAAACTGCACATGCGCTATAGTCTTTATCTACAAGACCCTTCTATAAATATTCGCTAAAACACTTAGCACATGTGAAAACAATATAATTTCAAAGTTAAAAGAGTTTAAGAAAATATATTTTTATAGGTCTGGGGTTTTTGTTTTTTTTGTTTTTTTTACATTTGATCTGTCAACACTCTACCTACAGGCCGCGAATCTAGATGGAATTTGTTCAAATTTGGCACAATCATTACTTTCAAAGAAAGGATGGCACTCTCGGAGGTAAATGCATGACCGAAGCACTACTGTCACATTGAAACCTGTTTTTTTTTTTAAAAAAATCTGTTTTCTTCGATCAACTGTTTCCCTTGTTTCAAGTTAAATGATGATCTATTGGAAAGAACGTATTGAGTAAATCTACGCTATCACTAAGACGGATTCAATATGTAATATTTCTCATTACTACCTATGTTGTTTAATCAATGCTATACATGTTATTTTTCAGTCGTATCAAACATCATTGATATCATTTTATTGATTCTGAAATTATTTGTAAAACAAAATAAGAGACGTGGGGGGGGGGGGGGGCGTATGAGGCTTTCATAGTGTGTAATCATCTAGGCCTCGATCCATTGTTTTTGGTGCTTGATATTTTGCGGGGGAGTCGCAGTGTCTAGGCAGGTAAGACGTTGGTTCGGTAACCCGAAAGCTGGGTGTTCGATCCCTTCATTGGACGAGAAAGTTCATCCAGATTTTCCGACGAGGTCTTGTCAGTTGTGCTGGACAGAGGGCCTGGCACGTAAAATATCCCTTGGTAGTTGGAATTCGATATAATGGTAGGCCATAGTGCGCTGTCCTGGCAAAATTTCGCTCATAGTATGGCGTATGCCCGTCTTCAATATGACAGTACTGGTTCGGTCATGTATTTACACCCGAGAGTATCATCCTTTCAGAGGATCGCGTGGCTACGTGGGCAAGACGCTGGCTAGCTAGCCTGGAGGTCGGGTGTTCGATCCCACACTGATCAGAAGTGAATATTCGCTAGGCCTCTGATAAGAATGACATCGATGCGACTTAATGAGTCCCCAATATTAACATTATTCCTCCGACAAATTTAATTCTAAAAATATTTTTTTTATGTATTAGAAAAATAAATAAAGACATTTGAAGTATTTGTAGGTAAAAAATATTTCCTATGTGGCGTAAATGGGTATTAAAATGAGTAAAAGGCATCATTCTACCCGAAGCAGTTACGTCTTATATAAACAATGCACGCGCCATTGGTCCAATGATTGACACCGCGTGACGTGATTGCATGTGTTGAAAACAGTCATCTTTTACAGAGATATTAGACGACTTTTTTCACAGATTGGTTCGATCCCTGCATTGGCCGACAAAATTCATCAAGATTTACCGGCGTGGTTCCCCCTTGTCAGTGATGCGGGACGGAGGGCCTGACAATGACAGCTGTCTAGTCGTTCGGATGGGACGAAACACCGAGGTCCCGTGTACACATTGGCGTGCACGTAAAAGATCCCTTGGCAGTTGGATTTCGATATAAGAGCGGGCCGTAGCGCCGCTTCCCGGGCAAAATTCCCTCATAGCACACTGTATGGCCTATGCCCGTCGTCTTTAGCCCAGTTTAGGAGAGAACAGTAGGACGTTAAACTCCATCTCATTTCATTTCATGCCATCCTGTCTTTGAAAGTAATGATTATGCCAAATTTGAACATCTAGTTCCGCAGTCTGTAGTTATACCAGAGGGTTGACAGATAACACCTTAAAAAAACAGATCTATGAAAATATATTTTCTAAACCTTTTTTAATTTTGAAATTATATTGTTTTCACGTGTGATAAGTGTTTTAGCGAATAGTTGTAGAAAGGGTCTTGTAGATTAAGACTATAGCGCATGTGCAGTTTCAAACTTCCGAGACGACAAGTCGACAAGTCGATGATACGACAGTTTGGTTTTGTCGTATCATCGACTTGTCGACTTGTCGTCTCGGAAGTTTGAAACTGCACATGCGCTATAGTCTTAATCTACAAGACACTTTCTGTAACTACATGTATTCGCTGAAACACTTAGCACACGAGAAAACCCACGAGGTTTGACAGGCGACCCTACACCTTGTCACGTACAACCGGGGATTCAAAACCACGCCAGTTGACTCAATGACAGGCTGTGAATCGTTTTCTCCACCTCATTCAAAAAAAAAAGACTCCTGCAACTATTGGGGTGACGTGCTGCACTATGATAATGCTGTGATTTTAAAGAATGTGACCCGATTTGGTTTTTTTACAATCCCCTTCCCACCCTGTCTTCTGAAATCATTTTTAAACTATCGCTCCAGTCATCTATAAATATTGGTGGGTGTCGTACACATGGCAATGAATGCTTACTTGTGTGATACCTCCCGACACCACTTTTTCTTCAAGGAATTAACTTAGTTAACTCACTTTGGTCCTGCTATTGTAATTCTAGATTTTTTAAATATAATACCAAATATAATTCACTTGTGGACACAAAATGTTTCATTATTTTGAGAAAACAAATAATTAATCAACGTTTTCCTACTATCTCTTTTATATTTATCAAATCTACTACTTAGGCCTATATATGATGTAATGAGTACAGCTGTATTTTTGTGACTTGTAGAAAGAGACTAGGACAATAAGTCGACATCTCGACGTTACGATAAAAATAACACGATGATACGACAGAATAAAGTGTCGTATGATTGCGTCAATACTGTCGTGATGTCGTGTTGTCGCGTTATGAAAAGGGCGAGATTTAACATGGCCACTATCAGCCACCATAGTATTTACTAAAGCCATGGAATTATGTTTTAAAACATTTTTCTATGGCGGTAACGGTCTTCTTAGAAAGTTCAATGCCCTAGAGAACAGGCAAGTAAGAACCGATCATGTTATAGGTTTCTGTGATTTACTTCATGCCACATTCGGATCCTCCAAGACCAAAAGACAAAATAAACAGTTAATGTGACAAACAACCGAGTTTTCATGGTGTTCATATATGTGTACTGAATTTTTCCCATCCTAGAGATTGGGAATACGCACATCTATGTTGCTTCAGGGCTAAGAAACGTTATCTATATAGGGCGATTGTAATTAAATACACAGTTATAGGACTTCGTTTATCTTTTTGCAGACACTCCTTTAGTCCATCTGATATGAGTTAATTACAAAAAAGACAATTGGTACTTTTTAAACTTTATTTTGAGCACTAGTAAAAAGCAACTCAAACTGCGTACTACAGTTGAGCAAAATTTGATTTTTGTTTTTATGTCGCGACACTTCATAATGTAATGAACAGGGTGGGTTTAGCATTTACAACTAGGTTCACAGCCTACGTTTGTTTTAGTTAAATGAAGACCGTTCAGAGCAGTTGGTCCAATTGCTTTAAAGCCGGTCCTCCCTATTTATGCTTTCACAATGCATAATTTATCCCGTATAATGATAATGAACACCACCATAGGACACTAGTATATAAGCAAATTGATAACATTGTTAGATCTTTTTTCCCCATCTTTAGTTTTCTGTGTTCAAATTTTCGGTTTTGAAAGAATTCATTCTCTCCAACTTCTGTCGTCTTTTTTGTTGGTGTAAACGCTGGCCACGTCGTTTTTCCCTTTCTAGGGCGCACTGTGTGTGATTGTAGTATAGAATGAAATTATTTACAAGAACTGGTACGATGAATCCAATCAACAATAGACCAGACACGGCCGTCATGGATCCTATTAAGTATCCTAAATTGGATACCGGATACATATCGCCGTATCCCACAGTAGTCATGGTGATGAGGGCCCACCAGAAGGCTCGAGGTATGTTCGGAAAGTTTTCACGATCTTCTGCGTAATAGATCAAAGACGAGAAAACCAACATGCCAATAATCAGAAACAGTAACATCAGCAAAAGTTCATTAATACTAGCTTTAAGGGTGTAGCCTAGAGTCCATAATCCAGGGAAATGACGCATTAAACGGAAGCTACGTAATACTCGAATAATGCGCATAAGCGACACGAATGTTACTAGCTCTGGCGCGGACAGCGGAAACGAATATGAAACTACATCCGGCACTAAGGCTAGAAAGTCGATTATGTTCATTGGTGTTTTTAAAAACCGCAATTTATTGGGACAGACAATAAATCTAACTACTATTTCCAAAAGGAAAAAGGCAAAACAGACGGCATCTGTAATAAACAGTGCTGGGTGAATGGAATTGTTACTCCAGGGAAGATATGACTCTGAACTGGCATTTTCTGCAGAAAGGCTCTCATTGTGCTCTGTAGAAACTTGGAAGTATTCGTGGGTTTGTGACACAAAGGAAAATATAGACGCAAATACAAGAATAATGGAGACAACACCATATATCTGAAATAAAAACAAAAACAATATTACTGGCTAGACAATCAGCATATCAGTATCACCATCGAGAAGAGAACCACCAGGACTATCAAAACATCGGGTTTTTTCTCTGGGTCTGCGTTTCTTTTCCACTGCTACAGACTAATAGTGCAATGGAAATTATTGAAATAAAATTGTATCATAATTTAGTTGAGAAATGACCGACCTCGCATCAGTTGTGATTTAGCTTCTTTCTTTAAATAAACGTGGTAATATCATTTATGTGGCGGAGAGATAAAACTCCCCCCTCCCCACCAACAGTGCAAGGATGTGGCTCTGTACCGTCTGCACCACTCTTTTTTTATATCACGAACACGTGTAAGGTCGAAACGAAAGAGAGAGAAATGGGGTTTAACGTCCACTCGACACAAACTAGGTCATTTCGGGACTAACATATGGTTCAACTTTATTTTAATAATTCGCTAGAAGTGGGAGGAAACCGGAGGACCCGGAGAAAACCCGCGAGGTTGGACACGCGACCCTACTCCTTGTCACGTACGACCGGGGAATCGAAACCACGCCACCAGTTGACTCAATGACAGACCTTATGATACAGTGCGCACGTGCTAACCATTCGGCAATCCAAGCCCCTTGTGAGATCGAAACCTCTACTAAGCCTAGTGATAGACCGTGCTAGTTAAAGTTGCAATTTCATATTTTTACGTTATATTTTTAAAATTTATTAAAATAAAGCCTTAAAATAGATGGTATCTATAAACAGTACTACCTTGTTAAAGAATAATCCTGTTAATCCTATGGTGGAGAATAGAAAACAAGGAAGGTAATTGGGAGGTAATTGTGTTATTATTTCCGGTGTAAATGAGTTTTAAGTGTGAGAATGACACCTATGATCGTATAATAGTGAGTTGACAACCTATTGAGCAAAATACATAGAAATAATTATGTTTTGAGTTTCTTAGAAAATATGAAATTGTAACTTTAAAGTGCATGTGTTAACTCCACCTACCTCCACCCTAGCTACTATCGGAAGCTCTGTGGTACATTTTCTCAGAAATTCAAACTTCCATTTTCAATATTTATTTTAGCATTACGTTCCCAAATTCCATGCTATTGCCGTTGTCTGTCAACATGCTTGCATAAGTATAGTCGCAAGTGATCGTTGTGAGTACCATAAGTCACCACACATATATTTTAACAATGAAATTCCGGAAATGAGTTACGTAACCCTGCGAAGAAAATCACTTCTAAACAGCTTACTGTACTGCAGGTACTGCGTGAGATTTTCGACCGTCCCTTTAAGGAAATGATTGCAACTGGGAGTTATTCTATTTCTATCTAATGAGGTGCTGACAATCGAAATATAACTAACCTTTGAAGAAAAGGACCAATGAGGGTTGTTGAGAAATTCCCAGGCTTGATTTCGAAATCGATACCACTTTCTGGTATTTTCTGAATTATATGAATGTGTTCCCATTGATATTTGACGATCGTGTTCCAGCTTCTTCAACGACTGTAAGGTCTGTGCCCAGGAATTATAGTTTAACCAGCAGCAGTCTTCTATAGTGCACTCCTCCACACCCCAGAACTCCAGTTCAGCTTTTATAGACGCACCACATAGAGATGACGGAAGGTGCAGTTCCCCAGTTCTCAAATATTGAAGAACCACTTTGAAAACGTCAGGATCATGGTCAAAGAAGTAATCATCCTTTTTCTCCCTGTAGTGTCTTTTCAAGAATTGTTCGTCAGAGAGCCGCGTATGGGGAAGTCGTCTCAAAGTTGAGGAGTACGTCTCGAAGCAAGTACCACCAACATTAAACACAAGAACTTCATCTGTCGTGCCTACAGTTACCAACACTCTTTGGTTGTTCTTTTGGATGTTGGCACCAGGAAGTAGAGCTTGAAGAATTCCAGAAGAATCTTTTACACTCTCCGAGTTGAAGAAAGGCATCTTGTTTCGGGTACTGGTTATCCTTGAAATGACAAAAATGTTAAATCATGAGCGTTAAATATGCCTGAGGGATGCAATATTTTCCCCGGTTTGTAAAACACAATTTGCATATAACAAGTAAAGATTGATATAACCTAGAGTTGAAACTGTTCTATGTGATTGAAAAACGGCCCAGTTCACCCAAATCATCAAAAACCAATGGGCCATGATTTTATGAACTACTCCTGCCCAGGAACATCAACTTTCAACCTCATAAACAAGTTACTTATGGTCTCTGGAATATTATACCATAACGGCCCCAACAAAGTTCGTGCTTTAACAGCAAACTCTTGAAGAAAATTATATAAATTAACAGTTGTCCTTTTGATGCCCACCCGCACAAAGAGCTATAGTGTGCTACAAGGATACCTGCTGAGTCCTTAAATGTCCTTAAAGCTGAACTCCGATTACAAAACTACAGAAATAATTAAATAAATAAATTACTTGTTTTCAATTTTTAGAACAAGCATGGCGATTGTACGGCGTGCGAAAACGGAGGCAGCCCACACCCATTGTATACCTTGTCAACCACATCCGGCTAGCAATATTTCAACTACCAATTACCTCCTGACCGATTGAGGGTTTTTCACTATCAGTTTACTGAAAATATTATTGCTATACAATTATTATGTCTGATCAGGTACATATTTTTTTTTATTGTGGCACTCAAAGCTAGGTAACATAATTAATGTGCCGAATTATAATTATACTATTCAATTAACGCTTTTCAACACCTTTTTTTCTATATAATTATAAACATTCTTTCATTGTCTCATGCATGTCTTATACATGAATTCCTTAACATGATTATTATCACAAGATGAACTTCTTAAAACTCATTAAAATAGAGCAATAATCAGATAGTTAAGACTATGTGATGCTTCTATTTATATGTAAAGAATATTTTGTAATCTGCCTGAACGAATATATCCAAATAACTAGAAAAGTAGGCCGGTGGGTCGGTAATTGATGCTATCTAACTTTTTCACAGCAAAGGGCGCTTCCAGATACGATCTCTAAGATGTTCACTGAAAGGGGAAGTTAAATGTAGAATTAAAGGGGAAGTCCTAGATTTCACAGGACACGGTGTATAAATATGTATTTAAGTATGCCAAACTCCAAAATGTGACGACTTAGTCAATTATTACCTCATTTTAAAATATCAAACAAAAATATTTCGTAACCCTTTAAGGAATTGTATTCGATTGTATAGTGTCTTGATAGTTGCCACTATAACGTCTGTCTAGGCATGTACACAAACATTTAAGCCATTGGAACTAAAAGTTTGTTTTTATAGTTGCTAAGTCTTTTATTCCCAACTATCCAGTTTTATTCAGTGTTGGGCTGTGGTTATTCAGATAGTAATTTACAATGGTTGAGGGACGCTGTGGGCGTGAGGTGGGGTTATTTAGATAGCAAATTTAGAAAGGTTGGCTTGGGTGCATGGGTGTGTAGGATGGGTTTTTTTAGATAGCATTTACAAAGGTAGAGGGGCGGTGTGGGAGTGTACGCTGGGGGGTTATTTAGATAATTTGGACGAGATTGTTTTGTAAAATAGATGTTGATTAGATAAGATCTTGTCCGTCTTCATTAGCCCGGTCGGAGTAGGACATTAACCCCATTTCATTTCATTTCAGCTTAAACATCTATTATGCAAGAGCTAAATCTGAGTATTGCAGATCTTTCTTTAGGCCGGAAATGTTATCTAAATTATTCATTAGACATTACTTAACCTATCCAGACCATAATCAACTCTCGATGTCAACGCTAGCCTGCGATATTTATTGGATTATGATCCGATTTGCTTCCCAACATTCATTCATGATTTAATCATGAAATGGATAACCGAAGCTATTTTTTTTATCGTACCGACCTTAGATGTAAGAGCTGACAGTTCTCACTATAATAGTTAAAAACTAGATAATGTAAAAGCAATTTGCTGAACAGTTCAGTTAAATTGATCCACTATTAACAGAGAACTAAGCAATTGAAATTTTGACCTAGCCTCGATCATCATTACTAATCTCCCATAATGTATCTTTATTTCTTCGAGACAAAAAATATGTCGTACTAGTCGTAATAACACACAATTCCAATTTTACCCTGAAGCAAAACGGTTTCCCCCTTTAAATATTTTAAAAAGAAGGCGTCTTTCAACACGGTCGTTATGGCTGAATGATTCTAAACATATAAGCTCACTGGACAGGTCAAGGTCACATGCTATTAAATATACAAGAAATGGGTTAAATACCCTCCAGGTTGTATGAGTGTGCTTATGAATACAAATTATAAATATGCATCGATAAAGCTTTTGAAAAACGAATATAACCTTGTCACAAAACAAAAAAAAGAGAAGGTTATAAATTTTAAAAATTAGACTGATAGAAATGGGTCTTAAAGTTCACTCGACACAATCTAGTTCACTGTTCAATATTGTGGCCATATTTTTCTTGCGAGTAGAGAAACAATAGAAATGAAATGGGGTTTAATATCCTACTGTTCTGCTTCGATGAAGGGATCTTTCAGCTGTCCCTGTCAGACCCTTCGTCCTGCACTACTGAAACCACACCGCCAGAAAATCCGGATGGACTTTCTCGGCCAACACCGGGAGCGAACCCGCGACCTCCGGATAAGCGAGCCAGCGTTTTAGGCACTTACCCACCATTGCTCCAAGAAGCAATAGAAGGAAATCGGAGAACCTAGAGAAAACCCACGAAGTTGGAGCAACACTTGTTGTCACGGACAAAATTAAGCACCCCTGTATATCTCACAAGACTTGTCTTTCAAGGTATGACGTTGAAACCTGATAATATAGCCTCGTTAAAACAAGTGTGGTTTGAAATAAAATATCTTTGACAAGATAAAAACTAAAGAGTTTATCCAGGGTATGTGACGGGTTTACACGCTATTGTCGATGTTGAATTATTTTGACTCCTTTTTCGGAATTCTTTATAGAACCATTGGCAAAGATGTATTTTTGCAAAGCACATTCTTTAAATCTGGGGTAATCCACTCGGGTTTGAGTGACCATTTCATAACATGCTGTTTTAGGAAATGTACAAAAACTATAAGTTTGCACAATACTGTAAAAATTCAATCTCTCAAAAATTATGATCGAGATGAATTCATAGAAAAGTTAACTTTTGCAAATTTGGAATTTGTTTCAATTTAGGGAATGTCAATGAAGTGTTGTTGGGCTTAAACATTACATTTGTGGAAATCTTAAATTCAGTTGCTCCAGTGAAAAAGGTTAGTCATGGACGTCATCCACCATTTTGGAATTAATTTCTAAAAGGGATTCCCTTTTGGCACGTTTTAAAAAATCCAAAAATGAATTTGACTACAATAGTTTTTTTTAAAGTGAGAAATAATACACAGAGAGTCATTAAAAGGGAAAATATACATATTTGAGTAATAAACTGAATGATATCTTGTGTAAAAAAACTTGAAATAATCGGTGTCCGTTCCACAGAGTGTTTTCGTTCATATCTTTCCAACAGGAAACACGTTGAAAACGTTGGTAAAACGTTATCAGACCCATTGGACATCTCTTGTGGTGTTCCACAGGGAAACATCCTGGGTCCCCTTTGTTCCTCAGTTATGTGAATGACATTGTCATCAGCATAACTGCCCCTTGTAAATTAATGTTATATGCTGACGATAGTGCCATCCTGTTTTCTCATTCAAATCCTGATATAGTATTTGTTAAACTTAGTGAACCCTTAAAGGCTTGTTCAGATTGATTAGTAGACAATAAATTATCCCTTCATTTAGGTACAAATGAATGTATGTATACTCCGATGTCTTTCATGTCTCTTTGTACTTAACATCCCTTATGGTGCACACACACTTTACTATTTTACTTCACTATTTATTGACATATTTCACCCTTCATCTTTCGAAATGAATCTGCCCCTCTATGATGGATGATATGACCCGATCCGCCTTCAAGGACCCCATTTGAAATAGACCTAGTTTTGATTTAAGCAGGTTTTTATGCGTTATCCTCAAGAGGTTGTTCATTTATGACAACATTACTTTATATTATCATCTCTATTGTCATGTTTGATATGGCTCTTGGTAAAATAAGTAAATAAATTAGGGTTTCAACGACAAACCTTGAATAACACAGAGGGAACTTAATTTCAGTCATTTTTAAAATATAGTACATTTGTACAAACATATAAAATAATGAGTTTTAGTTTAAACAAACGGAATGATAGTTCTACATGGTGGGTCAGAATCTGTAATTACATATCACTAAGATTAGCCATAATTGATATATTCCAGGATTTGTATGTTCCCAAAACAAAACACAATTTTTGTGGACACGATTAACGTAGCCGGCCCAAAAGTCTGGAATAAATTACCCGCAAAATCTGAAAGTGCGCCCTTTGTTTGAAAATTTCAAGAAAACATTAAAACTTTTTTTAAAGAACAATCTGTGAATAACAGTCCGTATTTTGTGTTTATTTTTGTATGTACTTCTATCATCTATGTTTTACAACATCTAGACGTTGCTACACTGCTTTGCAATTCCCGAACTTATAGCTATGTTGTCTCCCTTTACCGCAGATAAGTAAACAGTATCGTTCAATCAGAGGTTGTGACACAAATACACTCAAATTAAACATAGCGACCTCCATGGAAACCTTGACATTGAATGAACCTTGAACTTTGCAACTCGATTATCACGGGCAGACATTTTAGTTGGAAATCGCGAGATTTGGTATTCCCGATGGTCGAGGTTTAACGTCAACGCGACACAAACTAGTTAATTTCGGGACTACCATATGGTTCAATTTTATTTCAATAATTCGCTTGCGCGTAGGGGTTTTTAGCAGTGGTAGGAAACCGGAGAATCCGGAGAAAACCCCCCAGATTGGACAAGCAATTCTACTCCTTGTCACGTACAACCGGGTAATCAAACCACGCCAGTTGACTCAATGGCCGACCTTATGCTACAGCGCGCACAACTACGCGATGGTCGAGGAATCTGATCGGCTCTCAAGCTGGGTCAGTATCCCATCGAAATTAGTGCCGAAATATGCGGGGTATAACGTGCAGGGCTTGAGAAGATTTTTTTTTTTTTTTTAAACAATATTTTATTCAGAAATTGAAAGGGATTGAGGAACAGGCATAGCCTATATGACCTCACTCCTAAGATGTATGAAGTTAAAGCGAGATCAAGCCTTTTATTAAAGATGCTATGTGTATATGCGTGCATACAGCGCTATTGAATACACAAAGATATAATAATGAGCACTATACTATACTATTCAAAAAAAGTAGGGGATATTTGATTTTGGGGGCATAATACTAAAATATGCAAATGACTACGAAAAAAGTCACTATAGAACCTAACAGAAGAAACATTTCCAGTTACATGTGACGCCCAAACGCACCAATAGCTACCGCATGGAATGCAGGTGATGCTTGGGATCATCATGGGGGTCCAACCCAAGATTTGCACGACTCTGACTTTGAATGTTACAGTCATTGTGGCATTGAATTCCAGGGTGGAAACATCAGTTTAATTGTTTTAGTGACCAGAAAACAAATTTTGATATGCGTCGGCTTACCCAAAATGAAAGGTTACGTGCCTTTGGCATGCTACAGATCGGCACAACACAGGCGGTTGTGGCGCGGACGATGAATTTTTCTCAGTCTGTCATAAGCAGGCTATGGTCCAGATACCGTGATACACAATCTGTACAGGACAGACCACGCTCAGGTCGACCAAGGGCGACAACTCAAGCCCAGGATCGATTTATCCGTACCTTGGCCTTGAGAAATCGTGTCATCACAGCAAATCAGATCAGCGCTCGTCTTCAAACAGACACTGGTGTGAGAGTGAGTGGCCAGACGATTCGGAATCGACTGCATAGGGGTCACCTTCCCGCCCGACGTCCTCGCGTGATCCCTTGTTTGAGAGATCATCACATTCAGGCAAGACGTCGTTGGTGTAGGGATCGTCAACACTGGGATAATCGACGCTGGAGCAATGTGATGTTTTCAGATGAGTCAAGGTTCACGGTTGATTTTTTGGACAGACGTAGGAGGGTGTGGCGTCGTCGAAACGAGCGCTTCCAAGACGTTAACGTCATCAGACATGATCGATTTGGGGGTGGTTCTGTTATGGTGTGGGGAGGCATCACTGTTGCTGGAAGAACGGCTTTACATGTTGTTGCAGGGCGTGTTACAGGCCAGTACTACCGGGACAACATCTTGGCAGTCCATGTTGTGCCGTTCGCACGACGTCATGGCCGCCGTTTCATCTTCCAGGATGACAACGCAAGATGTCACAGGGCCAGGATCGTTACAGGTTACCTCCAACAACAGAACATCACCCCATTACCTTGGCCAGCACTGAGTCCCGACCTCTCCCCCATCGAGCATGTCTGGGACATGCTTGGACAGAGGTTACGTCAACGTCAACAACGTCCTGCCAATGTCCAAGAACTTGCTGCTGCGTTGCAACAGGAATGGGACAATCTGGACCAAAATGACCTTAAACGTCTCATTAGGAGTATGCTTGTTTGGCAAACAGAGGAGGATTTACCCATTACTGACTTGGTTGTGATGCTGTGGTAACTTTGCTGTTTGACCCCGGGTATCATTTTACCCTTATAATGGTCAGTCTGTGCCTTACTTAGTCTAACGATCATTTGGAATAAATCGATGAATGTGAACTTCATTTCATTTTGTCATTTGTTTCTTCGTCAGTTTCATTAGGTGACTTTAATAACACTTAAAAATCAAATATCCCCTACTTCTTTTGAATAGTATATATCCAATTAACAAAACCAATCGAATCGAACTATTGAATACACAAAGATATAATAATGAGCACTATACTATATCCAGTTAACAAAACCAATCGAATCGAACTGATTGGGAAAATCTCTATACGTATTACTATTGACCATTCCGCAACTTAAGATGTCCAAAAAGAAGTGTCGTGCAACGAGTGTTGCTTTGTTCCTTTATTCTACGTGGGAGCCTCGGTGGCTCAGAGTGTATGAAGCTGGCTCACTAACGCTGAGATCGAGAAAAATCTCTGTTAAACCCCATATCACTTCATTTATTCTACTTATTTTAAGCAATTCAGCGATTTTTGATATATAGTTTGGTTTCCCTTTAACGTACTGGCGCACTGCTGTGTTGTTTATTTCAGCAGCTCGATGTTTCTCGCCAATTTAAAAACTTATTATGTGCATGTCCTATTTGAGAATTTTTTTTTATGTAAATTCCAATCCTAAATCGAGACTATGATTTCACTGAACTTTACGGTAGAATAATCGCAGATCGCTCATGGTGATAACCTAACATAAAACTATCCACAATGTTTGTCCTATTTTTTTATCATCCGGTTGAGCAAACAAAAGTTTTGTCACCTAACGGAATGCTGCATTTTATTTGAATGAAGAAAATTGGTGAATTTGGGGTGAAATACTCTTGCAAAACTTTATCCCAGTCCTCGGGCGCTCTGTGATACTTTTTCAAAGAAGTAAAACTTGCAAGTTCCCATTTCTGTTCGGTCATAATTCCCAAAACTCTACGTTGTGTAAAATGATTTTTTTAAATCGAGTTTTGCAGATCATTTTTAAACGGCTTAATTTGTAAGTTAAGGCAACATAAAAAGGCTATATCACGTTGAAGCCTATTTACAGACTTAAATACAATTTTTTTTTTATTTTCATCGTACTGTACTGTGAAACCAGGGTTTCTCCTTCCAGTGCAGTACATCAACGTCAATAATGAGTTTCTAGAAATTCATATCAATATTCAGCAAGTTAGAAAGATAAGTTGTGATAAAAAAATAAAAATGAAATAAATTTGCAAAAGCCCTATAATTAAAATAATTCTGAAATTAAAAATGAAATTATAAGCATAATTGCAATTATATTGCATATTTACGCACCCTAGACCTAACTTACTGAAACGAAAATGATTATAAGAAGTAAACTTGAATATTATTGCTTAGTATTAACATCCGTAACCAAATTTAAACTCACCCATTCCCCCTTTAATAAATAATTTGTGTAAATTATTTACTTACTAGTATACGGTCTTGGTTATTTTTTGGTATAATAATCGTACTGTCAATCCTCGGGTGTATATTTAACCCTGCATAAAACATCTGCCCGTGTGCTACATTAAGATACTGTAAACTGTCTCCCATCAACAAGTCAACTATGAAAACATCTTTTGTCATCTTTCACCCATTTATAATGACCCCACACATGCCCCGTGTGGGTTATTGTATCAGAGTTGAATGATTCACCGGAAACCAGTGAAGCTATGTCTAGAAAAATCTTAATATTTATTCAACTAAGGTGCGTTTAAATAGTTTTTTTCATACGAAAAAGAACATAAACCTCACTTTAATGCCCTTAATCTAACCACACAGTGTTAGTTTAATCTTTAACTGTGCACTGAATTTAACAGCAATTCGTTAAATATTTTAAATACTTTGCATCCTGTAGCCCATATAAGTGCAGCGCACTGGAGTCACAGTGGCTAAGTGAGTAAGACGTTGGCTCGCTCTCCCCCATACTCCTCACAGTGTTTCGTTTGATAAGAGCTAATCCCACTTAACACTGCTGTAATGGAAGCAAATTTCTGTTCCAAATTATGACTGGTCATTAGTCCGATTAACAACCAATAGCTAAGTACTGCGTGACAATATCATTACGCTTTAAACAGAGCTCCAGATTGGACCAAATATGTTTACATAACGTTACGTCATGACTCACGATTTTATTATTGCCCAATTAACCAGTGCATAGCAGAATATTGCAGAAAAACTAATCGCGTGACAAACGAGGCTATCAACACGGATACAATAAACAATACTGTTTGGAAACGAACAATACTTTCACCGTTTTTAATACCTTAAAATCACCGTTCAAAGTTTTAGGGAAGACCCCAGATTAAAGGAAGGGCTGCCATGTTGCTGTACTTGGGATAGATTTGATTGAACGGGAAAAATAGACACACTCATTCAAAAGCTCAAATATCAGAAGCCAATCCAGCAATGGCCAGAGAGGGATTTCTCGGTCATTGCTTCAGGAATATGGCTCTCCCCTGGCAGTTGGAATTCGATATAAGAGTAGGCCGTAGCGCGGCTGTTTGTGCAAAATTCCCCTCAAAGCACACTGTATGCGTATCTTCATTAGCCAGTCGGAGCAGAACAGTCGAGTGCTAAACCCCATTTCATTTCGGTATACAGCACACTTGTATCAAATATTTCATATAAAGAACTTTTGAAATCGTGTCTTGCATAATGTATGCAGTAATATTGACTGTGTTTTTGTTGAGGAGATTAAAATAGCGACACAATTGGTATATGCATGTACACACTCCTCACAGTATTTCGTTTGATTAGTACTAATCCCGTTAGAGAGGAATTTCTCCGGCCATTGCTTCAGGAATATGATACACGTAGGATTGTTTACAGTTACTGCATCAATTATATGCATTAACTGAGCTAGTTAATAAAGAGTTCGTCTTTGAAAAGCGACAGATTAATCTTAGGGGAGAGGTGGGGTTTTGTTACATTAGCTATAACATTATTGTATTTAGTAGCTTATCTAAAATACACCTTTAAAGATACATTATGTAAGAGCTAAATCTGTCTCATGCATGTATAACTTTGATCTCGTATGTGATTTAATCTATTTAAAAAATCTGACAAGCCCCCCCCCACCTCCCCCCCCCCAAAAAAAAAATCAAAAATCAAAAAAATCAAAAAAAAAAAAAAAAATCAACAAAACATTAAAAAAAAAAAAAAAATCAACAAAACATGACAAACCCATAGCTAACTCCCAGTGCCACCGGATGGCTCCGATTGTAAGAAAATGTAAGTAAATTAGAACACCACTGTCATATAAACGGTTAACGATAAAGTAGATATCAATTTACGCTAGATTTTGTCAAAACTTCAAACATCCATGACTTCTTACAGAATGACTAAAATTTTTAATATATTCACATTTTATTATCTATTTTTTAAATATTATAGCAATAACGCCAGGTATTTAACTAATAATGCATCTTTAATAATAATATCTATATGATTACAAAATTTTCGAAAAAAACGACCTATATATGAAAAAGGCTCTTTAACTTTAAAAAAAGTATACTTTTTATACTTTTTAATTATATGTATAACATTTTCCATTCAAATTTATAGACTGTGATGTTATATTTTTTCATAAATAGTTTTATGTAACGGACCTGTTTTTGACGCATAAACCCAATCCCTTCTGCAAATAACTAAAGTGGTATTTGCGGGGAGAGAGTGGGCTAACATAAGGCCTGTCATCCATGAAAAGACGAGAGTTCGATCACACGATGGTACTTGACGAGGTGTATTGCCAGTTGCTTAATTAACCTTGTTGGTTTTCCCCGGGTTCTCGCTTAATGCTAAAGAGAGTTATGGAAATACAGATTTATTATGTTATTCCAAAAATGATCCAGTTAGGTTGGGTGGGTTTCCCTCTTCTGTCACGTCTAGAGACTACTGTTCAGTACTTATACGTGTATTTATTTTCAAATTCATAGGAAAGGCAGTGGCTACATCATTTATTTGCCAATTCGGGCCAAGTTGACAAAGGCGTAAACTTCTTAAAGATGCATTATGTAAGAACTAAATCTGCCTATTTATGGTCTCTTTCTGACTTCTTGCTGGAACTTTGTAGGATTTAATAAAAAAAATGATGGGCGCTGTGGTATATTCGTTTTTTTATTATCTGTTTATAAACTACTATTGCGAGAACGACCAACTTTTTATCTAAATCTTACATAATGCATCTTTAAAAGCGTTAAAAGAGAGAGAGAGAAATGGGGTTAAACATCCACTCGACACAAACTAGGTCATTTCGGGACTAACATATGGTTTAATTTTATTTCAATTATTCGCTTGCGTGTAGGGGTCTTTAGCAGTGGGAGGAAACCGGAGGACCCGGAGAAAACCCACGAGGTTGGATTTAAAAGAGTTTAACTTTAACTTAAAGTTTCAAGAGTAGAGGTTTTAGGTTTTATTACAATTTGAAATTGCTTTCATTATTTATGTACGTAAAAGAATTGTGATACTTTTTTAAATTATATGTTTCGACTGTAATATTTGTCATTAATTTTATGGACTTCGACTGTGATATATTTTTATTTAATTTTATGTACTTTAATTGTTTTAAAGTAATTATATTTTGTGTGCGGTCATCCTGCACTTACTAGTAGATATCAATCATATGTTTGGTACTCACTTGTCATAAAACAACACCTATTGCAATCTAAATAAAAGTAACAGTATTTTCACAATACGCCTTGTAATGTAACAATATTATACATATACATGTATACACCTTGATATGTATATCTTACGTCTACATGTTGGAGCTTCGGTGACTCAGTGAGTAAGATGATGGTTCGCTAACCTGGAGGTTCCATGTTCGATCCCGATGTTGGCCGAGAAAATTAATCGGAATTTTCCAGCGCCCCGCCCCCTTCAACCCCCTTGTTTGTGGTGCAGCCCCCTTCCCCCACTTGTCAGTGGTGCAGAACGAAGAGGGCAACGTAAAGTCGGTCAGATGGGACGAAAAGCCAAAGGTCCAGTGTACACATTGGTGTGCACGTTAAAGAACCCTGAACAATAGGAATTCAAAGTAAGCTGTCTGGGTAAAATTTTCCCTAAAACACACTGTATGGTGTATTTTGCCCGTCTTCATTAGCCCAGTCCGCGCAGAACAGTAGGACGTTAAACCCAATTTTATTTCATACCTCTAAATGCCCTTCAAAAATAGCACAATAGGCCGCACCTGTTTTATTTTACAAGGGAATGTAGATTAGATAATAATAGAGTGGGTGTCGTTATTACCCTTATCTATAAAATATGCATGTATACCTATACAATACGTATTTAAATAAGATTTCAAGATGTTCGCACCTTTCAATATTTACATGTTGTAATTAAAAAATAATACTGAAGAGGAACAACCCCACCTTTAACATGTAGCATGACGTTGTGATAAAACGCTAACAATTCTTAAGTTTAATGATGTAATAAACAAAACACAAGAATTTATTGATTTAATGATGTAGTCAAAAATAATTTAGATCAATTTATTTACATAATAATATAGTGAAAATAAACTTAGATCAAATTATTTACTTAAAGATGTAATGAAAAAATGTTCCTAAACAATATTATTAACATTGTTATAGATCAAATTATTAACAAAATTTAAATCAATTTAAAGGATGAATAGCAAAAACAAATGTTCCGAAATAATATTATAAACATTGTCATACCTCATATAGACTAGCTTTTGCATATCCTCTATTATCACAATTACACAGTTCAATTTTTTTAAAAAAATATGTAATTTGGGAACGAATTATGGTGGACTTGATACAAAATTCCTGTTTAGTGACCTTACACACTGAGCCACCATGGCTTCCGATATCTTTACAATAAACATCTTTGAAAATAAAAGAACGCCCTCGGTCAACACCAGGTTCGAACCCGTGACTTCCTGATTAGTGAGCCAAGACTGTACTTGCTGAGCCATCATGGCTTCCGATATGTTTACAAGAACTTTCGTTGCAAATAAATAAAGTCAAAACCTTCAACGACTTAAAAGTAATTGAACAGTAAGTAATCTTCCATCACACTTAAAATATCTTTTATGACAAAACAAATTGAACATTTTAAAGCTACCACGAGTAAAAACAATTTTCACCAACAGACGACAATTAGCTCTGAACACTCACTATCTCTGTAAGTAGGATATTTATAATGGTGTGAACAGTAGGTTGAAGTTTGTTTGTACTGTTCACGTCAGGCTTGAGTTGGACACAACTACCGATATAGTCGCGGAAACACGGGGTGTATCCTTTGAAAGGTAGCTGATCCAGACATTGAAAGGTACGTAATTATACGTTTCTGGGAGGGAATCTGCGTCTAAGCTTTTAGCAGAAACGAACATAAATTGGATGACCTCAAACCTCATGAAACTTTATAGCTTTGAAGAGGAGAATGACCATCAATAGCATCCAAATAAAGATTATAGATGCTTTCTATAACGCAGTTTCTAATAACGGCATTTGCACCGTTTGTATCTTTTCACTTTGGTGGTCCAACGCTGTTTCACACAATTCCGTTAAATTACTAGAAATTTGTGTTTCCTGAGATGTTGGGATGCAACCTGGCCCCGACGTGACAAGTCTGACATTTTGTGTTAAAAGAACAACAGATTGACCTTGCGTCTTTGAGGTTGTTTGTTTCGGTACTTCTAAGGTTGATATTGGATTAGAAGCCATATACAATGGCATATCGTGATAGCTTCCGGCTCGGGGAATTAAGTACCCATCGTTTAATATAGGATCTTGGAATGCATTTTTCGGAAACTTTCTAATGCATACATTTCCTTGGGAATGATCAGTATAATCTGATGTAGAAGTTGTCGGGTCATTCATATTAGATCGTTGATCATATTGAATGGTTGGCGAATCGACGTTTTCGCCATCTTGATTTTGTGCTGTTGTTACAGTCGAATTGTATCGGATACTTAAATGTGTGACTTTAGGTATTTCTGCGACAACAGATGAACCATTTTTGGTTCTTGTTCTGGATGGCAACATAACAGATGATGCCATTGCTAAATTTTCGAAAGATTCATATGGATGAGAATCATCAGATGAAGAGGTAGATGTAGGCCTTGGCAGAGTGATGTACCTCTCTTCGTTCTCTCTTCTCTCTATTAACGTTCTTTCATATCGTCTCCGTTTTATCCCTGAAATATCAAAGATAGGACAACATGATAGACAGTAGATAATAGTTTTCATTGAAAGGGGATTCATTCACTTTATTTGGCACTAGTTGTTTATTGTTTGCAATATATGTGTAGTCCTCAAGATTGTCTTCAGGATTGTCTTATCGGTTGTTTTTGCGTGTAGTGCGGTCCTCCTGCGCTTACTATTTGATTTGGGTCGAACTTAATGTTGATTTTCGTTGATGTATCATTTCTATTAGTGGTGGGAAAACCCCAAATTCCATTCAAATTTTGTTGTCTTGGGTGTGTGGGTGTGTGGGGGGGAGTGGGGGGGGTAAACTGATATTAATTTTATTTTTTAAAATCTAAAATTGTACGCACCCTAACATACAATCGATTGTTTATGGTAGCATTTCTGCACCAACCGGGGTATTAAAGACGAGTATACACAATGCAGTCTACTATTGGGGATATTTTGCCCAGACAGCGTCGTTTCCACCTATTGTTATTCGAATACTCTCTGGCAAAAGCTATTTTACTTGTACCCCATTGTGTACACGGAATCTCGGTCATTCGTCCGATCTCAACGACTAGACACTGTTCCCAGCGAGATCCCCATCCTGCACCACGGGATACCAGGCTGGAAAAGAGCCGATGAATGTTCTCGAGCAACGGAGGGATCGAAATCGGGATCTCCTAGTCCCCCCCCACGCCCTTCTCCAAAAAAATTAATATATACATGAATGATTAATCTAGAGGACTTTCTACAGCTTTTTTGCAACCCCAACGACTCCTGCGCATATAAACGGCTTATTGAAATAAAGATAAATCACGCGTTAATTATAAAATGACATTGTTTGTGTTGAGTGAACGTTATATCAATTCCCAGCTCTCTCTTCAATTAAGTCTTCAATTCTAATTTGGACTTAGATCAAAGAGCTGTCATTTCAAATTAAGCACAAATAAAGACCGAAAGCTGTATTTTGAGCGTAAATTAGAAGAATACTGTAAAAATTAGAACACTTATATGAACGTACTACTTCTGAATTTTATTATCATACTACGTTTCAACTCTTATACAGGTATCGTTATCGTGAAATCTGTTTCTATATGTCTTATAGGGATTATAAGAGAACTGTCGTTTAAATGACGACTAGAAATAAAATACGGATACAAACAAAATATATTAATATTATTCATGTCGTGAAATTAGTAGGCACTAATGTAAACTTAGAATGGCAATGATTTCCGTTAGATTGATCAATAATGTCTGTTATGTTGTACTGTTGTTAAAGGAGTAAATAACTAAGCTTAAACACTGGAGAACTACAATCACTGAATCATTAACCGTAGAAAAAAACAATGAACTTAACACTCACTATAGTATATAAGTATACGCATAGAACTTAACTATAGTATATAAGTATACGCAAAGAACTTAACTAGCCATAGAAGTACAAACATTACACTTGAACACTGATTAGATAAGTACACACATTGAACTTAAACACTGACTATAGACGTACAAACATTACAATTAAACAATAACTAGGCGTACAAGCATTACACTTAAACACTGAATAGATAAGTACACAATTTGAACTTAAACACCGAATTAAACATTAGACTTAAACAATGACTAGGCATACAAGCTTTACACTTAAACAGTGACTAGATAAGTACACAATTTGAACTTAAACACCGACTATAGACGTAGAAACATTACACTTAAACAGTGACTAGTGTTACATAGTGGCAGATGTTATAGACGCTTCGTTGTATCTTGACACGTGAAAGTGATCTTAATGTCAACATATCAACCTGTTCGCTATCTATCCCCCTGGAGGTCTTGGTAGCATTCCTTTGTCATTGTGTAACCTTAACTTGTTGGCATATTTTATTTAACTTTCTTTGTCTGATAAGCAAACTGTACTAAATGTGAAACCTGATATGATACATGATACATTAGCCAGAAGTCTAATAAGATTCCTTTGTCTGGAAGGGTTTATAATCCCAGATAACAAACGAATCCAGAGTCAGGTCCGGCCAGGACACGAGAGCGGAGGCCATGGGTGCCCAGGCACGAGAAGAGACGGAACGAGGGAGAACGTCTGGGAGTTAGCACACTCGTGCCTAGCCAAGCTAGGACATGGCTCCCTCAATACAAGTTAGTTCTTTGTGTCTTTAACATTACGCTGTTTGTACGTGATATGTAAGAAGCAGAGAATAAAAGTATTATAAGATGTTCAACTAGTCTTGTCATCTGAACCTGATATAAAGACCCAATACTGTAACACTAAACATACAAGCATTACACTTAAACACTAACTAGAGACGTACAAGCATTACACTTAAACTCTAAGTTCTAACTATAGAAACACAATTAAACATTAAACTTAACACTGATTAGAAACGTACAGACATTACACTTAAACAAAGACTAGAGACCTACACACATTGAACTTAAACCCTATAAAAGTACAAACATTGAATTTAACCCCTATAGAAGTACTAAGATCGTATGAAGTTAAACATTATTTATAGAGGTACAGGCATTGGACTTAAACACTGCTTACAAGTATGGAATTTAAACTCAATGAACTTACACAAACCAAACGCCTTAGTTTTGAGTCACAATGTAGTGTTCTGTTTGATATAATGTATTATGTTGACTATAGTACTGGGTAACATTTATAGGCTTTATCTACAGACGTAATATTATTATTGAAATCAATACATTGTCATAAAATCGACAATTTTCTTTGAGACATACATCAAACTCTTCTGGCCATCTTAAACAATAGTGTTAACAATCGTGGCCGAAATGTACCATTAGTTGAATATTTCTTAACTTTTAAACCATCATTGAATCATTTACTTTCCCACACACATATTCCCTCCCTTCCTGAGATTTCATTATCTAAAGTTGTCGCAGAAAGGCCGCGGTTGATCCGTGTATAATATAAGATTGTTAAAGGGAGCTAATCTTTTGGAAGCAAACTTACAATAAAGTAAGGAATAGCATTAGCCTGAATCTATAAAATAATATTACTTACTGTGCATTATTCTCTTGATTAGTAACACTATTAATATTATAACAGCAACTATTAATAACACAAAGGAGACTAAACTGATGTGTAATGGTATAACCCAGTTTAGACCTTTACTAGTTGAATTATCGGATCTTGTTAAATTGTATGTACTGATGCTGGTAATGTTAACTTCTGTGAAATTTGCCCTTTGCACTTTGAGGTAATGGGCTGCATTTGTGGAATATTCGGTCTTGGTACCGAGTGAATCTGAAATGATGTTTAAATATAATACTATATATGGTCTCTATTTAGTAGAGTTTATTTAAGTTCTGTAAAATGGTCTGGGTAATGTATTGAAGTTGTTAGCTAGTACCAGTGACAACAAGAACTAGGCTAACAAGAATATGTCTGGTAGTTTAAAATCGGTCAATGACATCATAATTTGCTAATCCAAATATGGTAATGTTAGAAACGTGGTTAGCCGCCCTCCCAGGTGCCCATATAAGTACACTGTGTTGAAATCCAGGGTAGCGTCTGTGCATCTGACCAATCCGATAAAGGAAGTACCTGGTCAATTTCCCAGGGCCCAATACTGACTCATGCATGTGTCATCTTTATATAAGATGGAACGAGTTTAATTTCACTTCTGACATTGTTGAGATACTAGGAGATAGACATCATTCGGGGCTCAGGGGATGTAGCGCTATCGTCGTTGCGACATTGTTTTTAAATTTATAGACAAGGAATAGAGAAATAAGATGCCTTTATATTTCATTAATTAATATCTTTGGCAAGTTAGTAATTTCAAACATATATTAACATATATAGTGTGCACTAAATCAACTTAGTCTGTAATTGACAGTTGACAAATAAAAAAGAGCTCTTTATCGAAAACATATGTCAATTACTTACCACCAGAATTACACGTGTGTGGAATTATTCTAATTGCATCATTTGATTTAAAGTAACCAATCATTTTGTTAATTACACAAATTCAGGGCCATGATCACGCTTTATTGTGCATGATATTCATTTACCTTTAAAAGAAACCGGGGAACCCTGTAAGTCAGACTTGCATTAGATTCCAGAGATCGAGGGTACATCTGAGTTCCTAGACAGCCGAGAGGCTGGATAGGGTGGAGAAGTGGTTTTAGCTATATAGTATTGTAATTTGTGCTATGCTTGTATACCTGTATTCAGTTATATGCTATATAAAATGTAGAAGCGAACCATGCATTATTATTCCTGGTAAGACAAACGTCTTAAGAAACTGGAAGAAGTAAATACACAACGTGAAGCAGAAGTAAAGACAGCTAGAGACAAATTCTAGACGATCACAAGGCTACAGAAATATGTAGTAAGAAAAGATGCATGGGTCGTATGTAGGATGTGGCGACCGGTTTGACAATGTCCACTCTCCACGTCAGACAGAAAGACCCATGGTGCTACAGGGAGCATTATACCCATAGCCTCCTCGGCTTAGAGGCTAGGGTGAACACATCATCCTACCGCGAACCTTATGTAGAACTATCAAGACGTATATGGCTCTTGCCACGGATAAGCCGTTAGGTCTGAGTTAGAAAGGATATTTAACTCAGACCGTGGATATTTTAATAACTGAAAAAGTACTATCATAGATATTGTAGTTTCCCGTATTTAACTTTGTAGTTTGCTGTATTTGATATATAAACATAGTAACAACATAAACAGTGTTTCAGACTAAATTGATCATTGGGAATATTTATCACAACGTGAAGTCGAAGAAAGTCCTAGACGATAGTGTCACCCTAGTATCACGGGCCGTATCACAAAGTGGAAGTAATTCATAATTCGTCTATTTAACGACACCATACTGTCACATAAATAAATGAAATGAAATGGGGTTTAACGTCCTACCGTTTTGCTCCGACAAGGCTAATGAAGACGGATATTTAAGTATAAACGAAAGACTATATATATATATATATATATATATATATATATATATATATATATATATATATTTACAAGGCAAATGGGATTTAATGCCCTACTGTTTTGTACTAAAATGGCTAATGAAAAGTGACTTACGCTCTTTATGGTATTCAGCTTCATTTGTGGAATATTCGGCTTTAATAGCAGGTGAATCTGAAACGATGTTTAAATATAAACGAAAGGCAATACATATCTTTGCAAGGGAAATGCGATTTAATGCCCTACTGTTTTACACCAAAATGGCTAATGAAAAGTGGCATGCCCCATGCTAAGGGAAATTTTGCCCAGACAACTACCTCTTCATCGAATTCTAACTACCTCAGTTGTTTGTCGGTCCATCAAAACGACTATACGGCACCATTGACACAAGGGAAACCACGCTAGAAACTCATGAAGAACTTTCTCGGATAACACCGGACTCGAACCCAAAACCCATTGTTTAGTGAGCCAAAAGCCTACTCATTGAACCGCAATGGTTTCCGATATCTTTACAAGAAACATCTACGGAAATCAAAAATCAAACCTTGCACATTAACCAGTACTTCTTTACTTGAAAAACTGTCATTACCACACTTCCATTTACCGTCGATGTTAAACACTACCGGGTCTATTTCAAGAACGGCCAAACTACCACTCTGTTTTCTACACGTGGTGTTGCCAAGCCTCAATGGAAATTGTCCAGAATCTTTCACTGCACAGATCAGAAAATCATTTTTATAAAAGACAATGGAACTGTTAGTTCTTGTTGATACAAAGTAACAGCATAAACACGGCTTTTCACCATAGACAGATGAGGTTGTAGATACCGAAAGCTCTATGTCCCCTGAAATTTAAAATAAAAGTAGCGATGTTTATTTATGTACAAAGCAAATAATGTTAGTTTACCTCTAAATAATTAAAGCGTGAGCAGGAAGTGACGCGTTTGACCAGTATCCACACTTGCACATATTTTTAAATTTTGTATCAAAATATTGTGTGTACATTTAAGTTTCAATAATTTCGTATCATATATACAAAGACTCGATTTAGTTTATAAATTGATAACAATTTTGCAACTTTAACGGGGATACGTAACTAATTATTTAAGCATCTTCAATCGTATGAATGGCTTATTAACGCGATGTTTATCTCGGAATATAAATGGACGTGTTTTTCCAGAGTCTTAAATAGTGTGAAATTGTGAGATTCCTTTGAAGAAGGTTATGACTGAATTTTGGATAATTGCGCAGGACCAGGACAAGGAGATTGCAGGAGTTGTTAACAGAGCCGAGGAAAGACAGTTGTGTGTTATAAATCTAGAAAATTGATAATTTTGTATTTCTGATCGTTAATGTTTAAGAAAATGTTTCGACTAATGGGTTTTCCAGGTCCCAGCGACAATAGGTAACACATTCAAAGCGTGTGTAGTGATAACCGGGAAAGTGGCATTATCAATTCCCATATCTATGAATCTACATTCTAACTAAAAATCGTTTCGGTTTTATAATTTCAAATTGTACAGCTAAATGGCAAATTAAAAATATACGAAATTAAAGTTTAATTTAGGCCCAGTAATGCTGAAGTAAAATAAAACGTGTTTCCAATAATCTAATTATTTTAGTCCTAAATAATTAGTCAGTTTTATACAGATGATGATAATAAAACCCTAAATAAATAAGGCAGCTCATTATTATTTCATATAAAATTCATTAGTCGTCAACACGATTTGCCACACTAAAAGGAGAAAAATGAAATGAAATTGGGTTACGGTACTTCTTTTCATCATCGACTGGACTAATGAAGACGGGTAAAGGGAGACAACACACGGTGAATACTGAAATACAAGTTGTGAGTTTCTGGTTTTGACTTGGGGCTAGACGACATACATAATTAATTATATAAAATAGTTATTTACCTGCAGTTTGTTTTCCGAGACACTAAAATGAAAAAAAAAACATACAATAGATAAGGATCGTCGAATTCATTTAGCAATTGTCATTTAGTAATTGTGATATATACAAATTATGGTAATTGTTATGCCATAAAAAGTGTGTTATTTGAATAAGGTTACCATTCAAACTTACACAAACCAAAAACGAATTTACAAGAACGTCGTCACTCCAATGGCCGCTAATTGTTTATCTATGGAATAGAACAGATGAATTGAACAGACGAATTTTAATACGCGAAATGAAATGGGGTTTTAACGCCCTTCTTCTGCACCAACAGAAATTTTTCTTTCATATCTGACAATAGTCATATTGGTTTGCCTCGCGACCAACGAAAGATCTTAAATTTGAAATATCCTAAATAATTATACATTATACATTGATCTGGATTAATATGAGTGTGCCGAAATTGCCCTTGTCGAGTAACACATTCTATCGATTTGATCAAAAAAAACTCTACAACGAACCAAAGTTTATCCCATCAAACCCTACCGATTTAATTACTAAATTGTTTACAGCGTCTTCACCTTTGTTGGCATTTTAACAAAAGCTAGAATACTCTAAATCGTAAAATCAAAAACAACATTATCCTTAATCTATTTGATGAACGTAATTATTTTCATACCAATCGTGTAATACTCTCTCTTTAAAAGTTGGATCCACGGTGTCTAAGTGAGTAAGAGTACATTGGCTCGCTAGCCTGGAGGTAGCGGGATGGCCGAGAAAGTTCATCGGGGTTCCCCATGCCAGTGGTGCAGAACGGAGGGACTGACAAGGATAGCTGTGTAGTCGTTCAGATGGGACGAAGAACCGACGTCCCGTGTACATATTGGCGTGCACGTGAAAGATCCCTTGGCAGTTGAAATTAAGAGTGGGCCGTAGCGGCGTTGACCCGGCAAAATTTCCCTTATGGCACATTGCATGGCGTATGTCCGTCTTCATTCGCCCAGACGGGGCAGAACAGTAAGACGTTAAACCCCATTTCATTTTATTTCTTTAAAAGTTATGATGTTTTACGCTACTAGTGTGTTTTGTATAATAAAAGCCAGTATAGAGCAGAAATTTCGGTCAAGATTGAAAGATAACATAGCTTTAACCAATACAAAGATTTACAACAAAGTAACGGATATTATCCTTAGGCGTAATAGCTATTGTGATACAGTAACTGAATATACGATTTGGCTGTAATGGATATGGTGTAAATGTTGAACGTAACTGTTGGCTTTGTGTTAATATACACTTATAAAATGTCGGCATAGAAGTGGTGATTTGAGATGTTAACCGGTAGCAACCGAGAGAGAGAGAGAGAGAGTTTTACGTCCACAAGACACAAACCAGGTCATTTCGGGACTAACACACGGTTCAACCCTATTTCAATAATTCAATTGCGCGTAGGGGTCTTTAGCTGTGGCTGGAAACCGGAGGACCCGGAGAAAGCCCACGAGGTTGGACAGGCGATCCTACTCCTTGCCACGTACAACTGGAGAATCGAAACCACGCCAGTTGACTCAATGACAGACTTTATGGTACAGCGCGCACGTGCTAACCATTCAGCCACCCAACCCCCCAGCTCTTTGTTATATAAATACCGGAGGCCTCAATAGCACGTTTTACTAGTAATACACTCGCACAGACTAAACATAAGCTGTAAATGATCTATGAGTGCAGTTTAGTAGTCAATAGTAAAATCGCAGCCTGCTGTATCAAGGCCAAACTCCGGCATCTAAGTTACTTTTAATTTACACAAAACAAACAGGTACTCACATTACATGCTGATGTCATCTGGCTAGATACCAATAACATCAAGATAAAAACTGTCAATCCGAGTAACATAATGAATATAAGTTTGTCAAAACAACACTAGGGCCTTTTTGTAAACCTGAACATCTAATAAATGTATCAAATAGGGACACGAAAGTAAAAATGAATGTGACGAGGAAGAATTTCTTATTCTGTGTATGATTGTATAGTCAAATTGTTTGTCGAAATATTTCCTTTATATTTGAATATAATTTTCATATACCTGCAGTTTCTAGGTTGCTTTTAAAAATATAACACTATATCCGTCGTCTTAAACGAAACGAATTGTTATGCCGTTTTTCGAATAGCTTTATAAAGCAAAAGAATAACTGACGATAAATAATTTGATTAAAAGTAGTTATATCAAAATCTATAACTATGATCGGTAATTTTCACTAAAATTAAAAGTTATTTCTAAAAAAAACGACCACAAAAAGACAGAGAAAGCGAAAGTGAAAATTTACACTTTCTCAACCTTCACAAGCAGGATATATATTTCAAAGAAAAAATTGTTTTTCGCATTGTTTGATCAGGGTAAGTTCTCAACATCCAGCGAAAGTGAATCGACACGAATTTCTAATATTTAATGAACATTACGATATAAATTAAATGAAAAAGATTTTCAATTATTGTTTCTGTCTTTATTAAGATTTATATAACAGACAATCGTTTTATCTACATACTAGACTGTTTCCATATATTTAACTATATAAGGAGTTTTTGGGTGGGTGTGTGTGACAAAGTGATTCATAACTTTCATTTAACTTAAAGTGATTCATGAATAATTATTTTCATACATAAATAAAAAATGCATATGTTTTTGATAATATTATGCGCATATATAGGGCGTGTTGCACAATGACTGTCACATCTGTGCATTATATCATAAGATAAAGATAGTATTGATGATTTAAAGGAAAAGAGTAACGGGTCAGAACGTGTGGGCTCCATGCTTAATTTTGCTATACAAGCTTTTAATTTTAGTCCTGGCTCCTTATTAGATGACAATATTCAGTTACTTCCTGGTTGGAAGGTATACGATAACGAGTTTTACTACAGTTTAAACATACCTAATGGAATAGGTTTCCGTTCAACAACCTATTCTTGTTTCATGATGTGAATAAAATCTTTTATCATATTAAAACTAAAGTGATTGATTGTTAGAATAGATTTCTAACAAAAAATCATTCATTTTCTTGGGAAGCAGCAACAAACAAATTGGCTAATTAGAGATAGGGTATCGTTGCACACCTACAACATACTTTGGTTATATAACAAAGAGCTGGGGGGTTGGGTGGCTGAATGGTTAGCACGTGCGCGCTGTACCATAAAGTCTGTCATTGAATCAACTGGCGTGGTTTCGAATCCCCGGTTGTACGTGGCAAGGAGTAGGGTCGCTTGTCCAACCTCGTGGGTTTTCTCCGGGTCCTCCGGTTTCCTCCCACTGCTAAAGACCCTTACGCGCAAGCGAATTATTGAAATAAAATAAAACCATGTGTTAGTCCCGAAATGACCTGTGTCGAGTGGACGTTAAACCCCATTTCTCGCTCTCTTATAACAAAGAGCTAAGCAGCTGTTTTCTGAAAATGTTCAAGCGTATGCCAAACATTTACTTTCTTTCGCTAAAAGAGCTAAAGCATATAGTTCTGACGAAAATATTTTAGACCTAGCTCAGCTACTATGCGTATGTTATTTTATTATGGGTCGTCTCCATGGGTCTAAGCGGAGCAGAATAGTAGGACGTTAAACCTCATTTCATTTCATTATGGGATTAAAATGAAATTAATTCGAGACAATCCATAAACTTAACAAGAAGCAGCTGCGTCAGCTATGTCAGAGCACAATGTAAACCAGGTTTGCGTTTTGGTTAAACCAAAACCAAGCCCCAAATTTTTCACATAATCATGAGCAAAGGGAAGTTGATAATCTTAGGCCAATGAAAGAATGCCAGAAATGCTATAACTACGGTCATAAAGCTAATGCTTGTATAGATCTCCACAGAACTTATTACCAACTGCAATACATGGATATAGGTCCAATTTTACAGACCACCGTTTCGGCAAAATCGTTGTACTATTTTATGGACATGCTATAAACCCTGGGATATCAGGAAAAATCAGGATAAATATGTAGTTCTAGGCGATATCAAAATTTAAATTAAAACGCGCTTTACATGCTGAAGCTAATAAAGGAGCTCAAAAATAAATATCCCTTTTTTTATTTAAATATTTCTTGAGTATAACTCATAATAGAATATAACAATATACCATTAAAGATAAGGTTAATCTACTCTCTGAATGCATGGCTATATCGAATTACCTTTTACAACAGGAAAATGTAAAATGAAACAGAAATTTTATGTTGTATCAAATATCAATCGCAATTTTATATAAGGATGTGATCGGTTACTTAATAAAGGCGGTGGATTATATTTCAGTTTAGAATACTTAAAAGTTAAGGATGAATAATATACCCTTGGTTGACGATTTACACATATCTTCTTAAGTGCGAATGGCTAATCAGGTAATAGTTAAACCCAAAACTTCACGTATCTTTGTTGTACATGCCAAACAATTTGATCAATGGTGAGTTTTCTGAGGAATTTGGATTCATTAATAACCAACCAGGGTAGTAGTGCCAGTAATTCAACTACGCGAAGAAGGTTTCCTATTATGATAACCAACAACACTGTAACAGCAAACCCCTTTCTCGGAAGCAGTCAAACAATACTGATAGACGAATGATGCTCTGCGGATGCATGCAGGGATGTCAATGCTTTCTATACTGAAACATTCAAAAATATAGACAACTAGATTTTTTAAAGTAATAAACTTTATATATTAACAGCCAAACAGTACAGACATAAAGAGTACACATATATATCAGCTTACATTACGTTACGGATGGGCCTATAAAAGCCTAAATACCAAATTACGCATGGGCCTATAATAGCCTTATATCAGATTACGCATGGGCCTACAATAGCCTAATTAGAAAATGCGAATACTGATGAATTCATCTATATTAATTCTAATTAAATTCTACGTGCTGAATATTATACTGAAGACACGCTGGATATTACTGACGATATTACAGAAGTTTACATTCTGAAGAACATGATAAATATCCGAAGAACATACTAGAGATTTCACAGAACACTACGTGAAAACTGAAATTACACTAATTAAAATTACTATACAGTACTAACTGACAAACATTAACAACAATAGCGTGGCCCGACATAAATAAATATCTACAAATATATCGACAATTATACCACAATATTCATATATATAACAAGTTTTAACTTAGTTTCTCACTAAATAAACGGTCATGTTGTATTTAACAAGTTATAACCAATAAAAATAGACAAGCGGACATTACATCCGGGCATTTTTAGAGTAAAATAGTTTTCATGCCCTTGGATTAAAATTAGTAGCGTTAAACTAGTCTACTGGCCGTTCTCCGGCTGATTGACAGTCTGTATAATCAAGACCTTTTTTCTACGGCTATATCAAGAAAACTAATTTAGTAACACACGAGTTACACACCTTCACGATTGTTTTGAGAACCTTGTAAAAGCAAAAGGATCCAACTACTAGTATCGAGTGTTCTGGAGATATTAGTTGTGTTAAACCAAAAGATGCTGCTCCTAACGATATGTAGTTAATAATAAAGCAAATTATATAAAACAAAACGAACATAATTTTCTCAAGCTGCTGCAACAGCAAAAATGCTTTAACAGTTGATATATGTGTAGATGGCTATTTATAGGCTAACAGAACCCACGCCGACGCATGCACGTGATCCGTGTGTAAAGTTTGATTGCGTAGGGCGCCCTATCATTAGAGACATTTCGCAAGCGTAAATTCCTGATCCGTATTGCGTATCCGTAACGATTTTGCGTGTAACGTCATCAATGCGTGTGTATTTCTTATACGTGATACGGCACACGGATACGGCAGCACGCATCGAACAGCTTTCATACGGAAAGGGTCCGTATAACATCGTCGTCTTTTTATCGTATTTTTTGCTAATTTGCTGTTGTGCCGTAGCGTTTTTATGAATCTATGTGTATCCAAGAACACGAAGGTGTATATTTGATGTGATTTTAACCATGACTGGAATTTAATCATTACTTTTGATGAGCTTTTCGCGGAATTTTCATATTTTTCCCGTCTGTCTGCACGCTTCTTGATCTACGTGCTAAATCTGTAAAAGGGGTATGTTTTTAATAAGATTCGACACTAATTTTTAATATTTTTTTTAAATAACTCAGCGACTGTCAAACGACTTCACTCCCTTCAGAAATTTATTTGTAGGCTACACTGTAAAAAATATCCATTTTTTATGTGGCCGAATTCCGTAATTTAACACCTTTTTTTTTATGTTAATCGATGGATTTTTTGGAGAAATTGTGTTAATAGTGTGAATTATTTCTTCAAATTACGTGTTTTATGTATTTCTGTGGAATATTCAGTATTAAACAGGAAATTTCCGTGAAATTTAGGGATAAAATGTTTTATTCCCTTCTATAATGGACTTAATTCTGTTATTTTACGTAATAGACGGTGGAATGACAAGGAAGTTCCGTGAAATTTAGGGATAAAATGTTTTATTCCGTTCTGTAATGGACTTAATTCTGTTATTTTTTACGGGATAAACGGTGCAACGATAAGTAATAGTATACATATATAATCACTCCTAATAATCATCATGTTATAGTATTCATTTCAATTTATTAACCATAATATGAGGAATCATATTTTGTAACGTTTGGTATATTAATTGACGTGTATATCTAATTTCCATTATTTATAAGATCTATAATGTTTATTGTTATTCATCATACGTTAATCAGATTGTAAGTATTTTCATAAATATGTAAAAATATGTTGTAATCCTGCGTGAGTTAAGGTTGTAATATCTGGTAATCAAGCACGCTTAAATCCGGATAGTATAACCGGTTGGCCAGTGTAAGTCGGTTTGCCTCTATGGCAGGGTCTACATACCTGCGAATTGATAATACCGCAAACTTACATCTGAAAGCATCCAACCACTGACGAGTAGCGGTTTGTGATACCTTGATCTCAATTCTTATATTA